CATTGAAGATTTAAACTTAAGACTCGGAAATAGTATTTATCACCATAGGAAGACGATCTGATTAGATTTTGGAGTACGTAGGTCAAAGGTCACAGGTCACAGAGGTCAACTTATGAAATTCCTTGTATTGAGTTTGTTAGCGCGATATCTCAAGAACCATTTGAGATTTAAACTTCAAACTTAAGGATAGTATGTATCACCATAGGAAGATGATCTGATTAGATTTTGGAGCACGTATGTCAAAGGTCAAGGGTCACAGAGGTCAACTTATGAAATTCCATACATTGAGATTGTTATCATGATATCTCAAGAACCACTGGAGATTTAAACTTCAAACTTAGTGATAGTGTGTATCACTATAGGAAGACGATCTGATTAGATTTTGGAGCACGTAGGTCAAAGGTCAAGGGTCACAGAGGTCAACTTATGAAATTCCATACATTGAGATTGTTATCATAATATCTCAAGAACCACTGGAGATTTAAACTTCAAACTTAATGATAGTGTGTATCACCATAGGAAGACAATCTGATTAGATTTTGGAGCACGTAGGTCAAAGGTCAAGGGTCACAGAGGTCAACTTATGAAATTCCATACATTGAGATTGTTATCATGATATCTCAAGAACCACTGGAGATTTAAACTCCAAACTTGTTTAAATTGCTCTATGGCGGAGGCATCATTTTCGACTGCGCGCAGTCAAAATTCCATCTAGTTTTCTTCTGTAATAGCTTTAAGTTTGAAAGCACTCTGTATTGTTTGAATTGAAACTCTTGTTTTATTTTTGTGTTTTTCAGGTGCGTCCAGTGGTCTCAAACATCTCTGTGATAGGTGTCCAGTACAATGGTCCTCCGTGTAGAGACTATCTCGGTCTTGCTATCTTCGTCTTGGTCTTCTTTCCCCCCATTGGTCTCTTCGCTATCCTCAAATCTAGACAGGTAAAATTAAAAGCACCATGCCTGGAATTGTTATCCCTTTAATAAGGGAGTTTACAGATAGGACATGGTACAAATGACCCCAAATATCCACAGATCTTTACACATGGAGAAGTTCCACTTTGAGCATCTTAGAATAATAACTGCCAAAGTCCTAGATGTGTTTCATGAATACCTTTTGTTTGACCTCTTGAAAAGAATACTTCCACCTGCGTATCATAGAATGTACCGTTGGTGCATAAATGAATAATGTTACATAACTTTCATGAGCGCATATCCAGTATTCATCTCTGTGGGTTTTACCATTTTGGTACAAATAACCTTTATCTGCCCATGCACAGATTTTATCTTTAAACTCCCTTATTAAGCCCCACTGCATTTCTTATAGCTACTTGCGCCCTCTATATAGCAAACAATGCCTAATCAGTGTCTGTGTGTCCCCCATGATCCCCTTTTTCTTACGTTAATTGAGAGCTGATTTGATTAGATAACCACCTGTCAGTGACTTTGCAGGGAGTTCTAGTCCCCCTGGCCAAACTAGTGCAGACAGGCTTTAAGTAAAATATGGCATTAGGAATTGATTTCCAATTTCAACCGTCACCCTTGTAGAGATTATCTCGGTCTTTTACCTCTCATTGGGCTCTTTGCTAGTCTCGGGTCTAAACAGGTAAGAACAATATATACCTCCGGTGTGTTAAGGCCTATACCTTATTTTATCTGTTTAGAGCAAGGCTCAGCAAGCAGAGGTAACGCCCTTCTGGCTCTGAACAGATGATTAATCGTTTGTTCTAATTCTATATATTTTGATTCCGCCTTTTGATGACTTTGATAGTTTACACGTCTCTTGTATCTGCCGACAGGTGCGTGATCGTGCGTTGGTAGGTGACATCATCGGGTCGCAGCGTGCCTCAGGTACGACACGACGCCTCTGCTATGTGGGTCTCGCTATCGGTTTCTTTCTCTGGATTGCATTCCTGACTGCCGCCATGATCATCTTCTCGCAGACGGAGAAAATGGCTTTTGGCGAGACGTCGCATCCCATCCCCGAGACGCGGCACTTCAATTTCACCCTCATCACGGGCCCCCGATAGGCATTTTCCTTTCGGACTCCATCTTTTGGTGAAATTTAGTTGTTTTTAATTTTACATTTTCTTTGGTATTGAGACTTCCATTTTTGTTCCAATTATCCCATTATATTATATCATATTACGTTGCTCTCTCTCTCTCTCTCTCTCAATTTCATCCTCATCATGGGCCCCCGAAAGGCAGTTTCCTTTTGGACTCCCATCTTTTGGTGAAATTTAGTTGTATTAAATTCAACTTTTTTATTTGTCTTGAGACTTCCATTTCTGTTCTCATTTGTCCCATTTTATTACTTTATATTACGTTCCTCTCACTCTCTTTCTCTCCTTCTTTTTCTCCCCTTCTTTTTCTCCCCCTCCCTCCTGCCCTCTCATTTTGTCTCCCGCTTTCTCTCTCTCTCTATCCTTCTCTTTCTCTCTCTCTCCCTCTCTATCTCTCTCTCTTCCAGCCAGGGTAAATTACCAGTGTATATTTGGCCAGTCAATTTTTTACATTTTGTTCCGTGATAGTATTTATATATTCTTCAGTTCTAAGGCTATAATTTTGAAACAGATAGGTGAGGTCCTGGGCCCCGTTGCACATAACTTACCATCGATGGTAACTTTGCCATCAATGGAAACCTTAATTTTAAGTGGCTGTTGAGCCTGTAACCATGGTAGTTGGAAGTTTTATGCACAGGGCCCAGGTTATCCTTCTCTTCTTTGTCGGCATCTTGCCCTTTCTCAAGTTTTGATTTATTTATGTAGCAGTTTTGTTCACCACTACTTCCATTTCTGCCCCTCATAGTCCCACTCTAATAATAATATGTTATACAAAAAGTCAAATCGCTTGCCTATGTTTGGTGCTACAAAGACTAGAAACTGAGGCAAATTTCATTCAATCATTTTGCTCACCCAACATTTCACTTTTTCTGTCCTGTCAGTCATTTATAAAACATTATACCAGGGCCAGTTTAATTTGTTTTCACATGATTTTCACGTATGTTTTCTTTTTCTTTTCACAGTATTTAAAAAAATGTGATTTCATTTTAAAGGTATTGAGTGAAAAAGAATTGTTGATGCTCACACTTGACAAACCAGTGTAAAGTTGATTTGATGACAAACTTATTTTGCAAGATTTGTAAAGTATTTTCACTGATAATTTCTCCATGGTTTTGTTGTTGTTGATTGTCCCATACTGAAATATTGGCAAATTCTTGTTGATGAAAACCCAAATGATGTGAATATTGAACTTCTTGCTTTAAAATTTTTCCCTTTCTCGTAAAATCAAGGTAAACCAAAATATTGTTTTAATTAAGTGAGAACGGTTTCATCAATTTTAGAATATAAGGCCTTACCAAAGACTGAGATATTTATGTGAATGAATTAATGCTAAATATATTGTGTTGTGGTTTATGCCAAGACCTTGCTGTCATTAATTATGTTGTATTTCCGTGTCCAGGACTGTGAGATTTCTAATTTCATTTCAAATATACCTTTTGGGCTTTTTGAAGTACCAGTAAATTCTTTGATGAAAACCTAATGAGAAGGAGAATCAAATATCGACCTTTTCGAACACACCGAAATGACCTTGAATATGACTTTCATCGTGACCTTCAAGTTGTGTCCTTCTCATTGAATAACCTTCAAAGGTCATTCAACCTTCAAGGTTATTGAGCCTAAATTGGATATTACTCTGACAATTATGTATAGATTATGAAATTCACATTATTTTGTATTGATTAACATTTGTTTACATCTACAAGTATTTAAATTGTCAATGTATAAGCTCAGTCGGCTGATGTACACTGTAGTTTAGATGTGCAATTTGTATTGTTTTTATTTGTCACAAGTAATTTAAGATGTCTAGTCTAGTTTATTTCATTTTTGTTTGTGTCTTGTTTAGGATATGGTAGCCAGTATTGGTATACCTTGATTATACATTTGTATATTAGCATACATGTTTGTATATAGCTCATGTGTATAGATTTGTTAATTTAACTATACAATTCTCATTTACTCTTCATATCAACTCTTCAGAACAAGTTCATTATTGTGTATGAAATATGTAATTATTGTAAAAATTGTGTACCAGTACATGTATTTTGTAGAGTAAATGTTTCATCAAACAGTTTGGCTAAACCTGAAATATGTAATCTGAAATAACAGCTGACTATAGGAAGTAATGTGCAAGGTCCCTCATACTGTTTAACTCCCTTAAACACTGCCTAAGTACCTATTAAAAGCACTTTCCTTTTTATTCAAAAATATAATTTCAAATTCATAGGGTAATTGCACATATTTGTTTATTTTCCAATGCTCTATTTCTTCCCGCTATTATAAAGCTATCTTCGTCTGTAGACTCTGCATCTCAAGAAACCCCTAAAGACCCATTTCAATGTATGAATTGCGCTAGAGAACGTGGCTCATTTTCACTCAACTCTTCACTAGGGGATTTAATAGTTTTGAGCTACAGGTTCTAATCTTGAAATAGCAGGTTTCAACCCACATTGTCCTACTTGTAGCTTCTTGCTCCCTCTATATAGAAATAGTTAATGAGATAGCCACCTGTCAGTGACCTCGCTGTGTGGTCTAATCCCATCTGGCTGAACTAGTACAGCGGACCTTTAAAACTCACGTACAGGTTTAAATTCAATCTTAACCAAATTTATTTCTCATATTATTAGTCATGAAACAAAATTTGTTTGGAAATGCTCCAGACTGCACCAGAGAGAATCTAAGAATCTCAGAGCTTCGAGGGCTCTTCAGTGGGCCCAGGATCCCATCCGCAAGGAGCTTGGCACTTTGTGTAAATCAGTCTATACCCTTTCAAAGTTTTACATGTTTGAATTTTTTTTTGTGAACCACCCAGCTGTTTGAACCCAATGTTTGAACTTGTATATTATTATGTAAAGGCCGTCTGTACTAGTTTGGCCAGGAGGGATTAGACCACCCAGCGTGGTCACTGATGGGTGTTTATCTTATCAACTCAGCTCTTGATTAACATGAGAAAAAGAAGATCATGGGGGACCAATGGTCACCGCTTAGGGATTGTTTTCTATATAGAGGGAGCAAGTAGCTACAAGTAGGACAGTGTGGCTTTAAACAAGGATTTGGGCTTGCTTTCCTCATAATTCCATATAATATTATACACTGCCATAAAATCTTAATTAGAAACATCTCCATGAAATATACCTGTAATCGTGTCTGTATTGTATGGTCTGGTTATACATGTATTGTTGATATATCATAATCCTAAACAAATAGTATTCAGTTTTTAACATCATAGAGTATTCAATATTTTAAAAAGTCATAGTTTATGCTAAACATACTTTTACAAAAGATACAGGGTTGAATAGATAGAGTTAGTAGCTTTTCTTTGTCAAATTGCAAAGCTTGCCAGTTAATGATCGAAAGTTTCTGTTTAAATTTGATGGAAATCTTTTTTTTCCAATGTTGCATTTGATTGTACGTTGGATATCTACATGTACCAGGGTTAATATATTAATGAAATATCAGTAATATATATGCTGTACATATTTTGACCTCGTTTAATTTACTTACGAACATGGTAAATTACATTCCTTTTCTGGGTATTATTACTTTTAATTTAATTGCTTTTCATTACTTGGTGTTATACAAAGTTCAACATGTTAAAAGTGATACTGCACTAATTTGTAGGTAATTAGTTTTTCATTCTTTTTCTTCCCCTCATTTTAAAACACCAATCCTCATTGAACCTCCTCCTCTTTCTCTCTCTCTCTCTCTCTCTCTCTCTCTCTCTGTCTCTCTGTCTCTCCCTCCCTCTCTCTCTCTCATCGGTCCTCACTCACTCACTCTCTCCATCTCCCTCAGAGAGAGAGAGGGACTCCCTCTCTTGGTTTTCTGTTTCTCAGCATCTATATCTTACCTGCCTATCCTTCTCTCTTACTCACATCTTGGTCTTTTCAAAATAGCCCTATGTGTCAATTTTTCTTTTTATAAACGTTTCTTTGATCGACTCTTTTCACAATTCTGAATAACGAACTCAATATTTCCTGCCACCAACACATCTGTTTGAAAAATCAGCAAATATGTTTTCCTTCACAGAATTGTCCACTTTGTAAATGAATTACCTGGTTTAATTTAAATAATTACTGTTGGGCATTTAAATATATCCGAGTAATGATGTAATGCTGCCATGTTGTATTTTGCTTGTCAAATAGCAGTACCATTCGCCATACTTATGACCGTGTATTTTGTTGTATTGGTGTTTATATTGTGTTTTTTATTATTACTGCAGCTCTGTAGGCTAGCTGTCATGTCATAATCTGTATTACAATTTCCTATGAAAACATACCTTGAGTCTATGTGTTGCCATAATGTTAATTGCCAGAATCGTCTGTGTATTTGTAGACAAACAGAAGTATTTTCATATTTATTGCAATAGGGAGCATATCAAAATAAATGTGTAGAACCATACAAGTCTGTTTTCTGTTCAATCTGTTGTGCATTTCTGAAATGTATATTTTCTTTTGATTTTCACGAGAGGTCTATAGAGAACAAAATAACGAGGGGGGGGGGGGTAAAATCAGATGTGCAAAGGAGGAAAAACAGAAAGAAAATTTCAATTGAGGAATCTAGGAGAGAGAGAGAGAGAGAGAGAGAGAGAGGGGTGTGGAAAAAGATCGAGAGAGATAAGATGAGGGAGAGAGAGAGGAAAGTGGGGAAAGGGCAGAGTAATATTTTAACAAAAATTGCTTGTTGGTTAATTTGGTAGATAATATTCACCAGGTCTTTTTTCTGATTCTACACCGTGATTCAAAAGATACTGAAATATTTTTCTTGCCACAGCCCAGAAACTATTCAGTACATTTGGCATGTAATTACGTTAACTTTAATTGCCATATATAGCATCAGAGATCGAGTTGCTAATTACTGATTGGTACGTACGCGTACATGTACGTGTTTGCCTCGATCTCCATGCAATTTTGACAAAAACTCAATATGATAACATAAAAATTCAAATCAGATTAATGTACTCTGCATAATGTTAACAGATTGCATGCAGCTAATGATTGGCCCCGTCCCTGCTGCCCCCCCCCCCCCCCCCCAACAAAAAGAAGAAGAAGAAAAATTTAAAAATTTAAAAATTAAAGGACTCAAAGTATATTTGTATATCTATTCAAACTTAATTTAATTAATAACCAATTTTTTTTTTCTTCAAGTGTGTGAAATACTGATTTGTTCCGATTCATGTTTCTTGAGAATGTGACATTTAAAAGTAGGCCTATTCGACAAAGGCCCCAATTCAACCAGTCCATTTTTCTCTCACCAGTCCATCTTACGAAAAAAACACAGACAAAATGCAAGTATACACACACAAACAAAAATTCATGCATTGTGTTGAGGTGCGCCTATCGCTGACAAGTATTGATTCCAAGTTGAGAGGTCACGAAAGGCCAGCACATTTTTCCCTTTTTAGACCTCTTTCTATCTGCAAAATGGATCCCAAAATAAAGGAAATGTTGCGTCCAAAATTTGATTTACTTAATGGTAACGATACAACGATACGAACCCTCGAAATCTCCTTTTTATCGTCGATTGTAGGTGAGTGGTTTTCTTAAATTTTATATTGTGTTGTCCCATATACAAAAGTTGGTGTATTGTTATAAGTAACATTTGAAAATGATCATTCTCGATCCAGTCTATATCATGTAATCTATCACTTCAAGTTGTCATTAGGGGGAAATGCCAAATAGAAAGGATAGTGTGATCTCCGCATAGTTTTAAAGCAATTCGATAGTTTGAAAGTGTTTAGCATAGAATTAGGCTACAATACATTACATGGAAATGAAATTAATAGAAGAGGAAGCATTAATCGATGAATGAATGATGTGCCATTCTCTTGCCATATGATCCATCCCTTCCCTTCACTGTGAATGATAAAGATGACACTTTATTATCTTTACAAAATGCATGCCCATCGCCTGCACTCCATACCCTCCAACTTAGGATTTTATAACATATTTACAGCAGCCTATACTTTGAATGTGATAAACTCGCTGATCTCAGAAAAGCGGAGGGACAACAACAGAGAGAGGTGGGTAGTCTGTAGAACTACATGTAGAAGAAGACTGATGCTGCGAGATTAGTTAGAACTTAGAAGTTAGAAGAATATGAAACCAAAATTTAAGAAAGAGCAAGAAGTTTAAATGAAGAAGGAGAAAGAGAAGAAGGAGAAAGAGAAATTAGACAGAAAAAAAATAAAAATATTGCATGTTAGTAAAAAAAAAAAAAAAAAAAAAAAAAAGGGTTGTAGAGTCTAAGTAAAATATACAAAATGTGACTAGTCTACTGACTATTATTGTTTGTATAACTTATTTCAGATTTCTAAACATTGCCACTGTATTATCTTGATGTAGGTGCTGGAACCAGCGCTATAATCCTGGCCGTCAACCCCCAGACTTTGGGGGAGGCAGCTCTGAGGACTGGTGCTCTCACGGCTACATGTGGTAAGAAAATAAAACTAAAAGTTTATAAGACCCGTCAGAAATCTAATCACATTGACCCCGATGTTAAATGTCCACCCTTTGCATGCAACAACAGTAGCATGAAATCTCCTCACACAAGAAGATGCAGAGTGGCATTTAAGTTGCTTGTTTCACCTGATAATAAGAATAAAAATAATAAAAGATAATATTAATAATATTTCCGAATTCTACGCAATCATGAATTTTCAATATTGTTACAAGTCCATTTATTTTCTTTCATTATTCCACTATGTAAAAACGATTCATATCCGTGTTTCTATATAACTAGTACGTCATTGTAACTTTGCTAACTGTGTATAATCTATTTATTATTTTCTATTGTTGTTAATGTGCTTTATGTAATGCCAACAACTGAATTTCCAAATGGACTAATAAAATAAATCTGAATCTGAATCTGACTGCTAAGAAAGCATGTACAATACATGCTTGTAAACCAGGAGACCAATGGCTTTAAGTCCTCTCTGAGGGACTTGGTAATATGGATTAATGCCTTACTAAAGGCACTAGCGCTGAAGCGCATTGACTTGGTTTTGAACCAAAAACTTCTCAGTTATGAGATCACTGCTCTACCACTGAGCCCTATGCATTAGGACATCCTTCTTACTAAACACTGTGGGACCGAGGTATAAACTTTGTACTGTAAATTTGAATTTTGTTGTTTCTGGGATTTTAAAGAGTCAAAAACAAAGAAGCATGACAGGTAAAATTACCTGAGCAAAACATTTCTTTCAGAATAAAAATGAAAAAAGTAAACAGAGCAAGATGCATAAATGACCTGTGTATAAAGGTTCTGGGAGGTGTTTCACAAAGATCCTAAGTCAAACTCAACTCTAAGTTGGACTTAGACAATATGGAGAGCCATTTGTAGCCTTAAAATAAAATATATTAAAAAGCAAGAATTTATTTTAGACTTTTCATAAATTCCACATCAAGAACATAAAATCTCCTTGATAATAGAAAGTATGAATGATTTGAATTAACATGTTATGTCTTTTAAAATGACTTTTAAAAAATATTTTCAAAGATGTTAACAACGTTCCATATACAGTAGAGACTTTGCTCGTCAACCTATCAAATGATGTCTTAAGGGACATGGATGATGGGAGAATTACTGTTCTGTTACTACTTGATCTATCTTTCGCATTTGATACTGTCAATCATATAATTCTGTTGGATACTTTGAAATCACTTGGTGTAGATGGAAAAGCTCTTAAATGGTTTAAGTCATACATATTTGAAAGGTCTCAAATTGTTTGTGTTAATGATTCAAAGTCTGATCCTGCTGCGTTGGTTAGTGGTGTTCCGCAAGGATCTGTTGGAGGCCCGACACTTTTCTCAATTTACTTAAGTGGTCTGAAACAGATTTTACAATGTCACTCTTTTAATTACCATTGTTATGCAGACGATATCCAACTGTATACATCATTCCTACCTAACCAAACCAATGTCATTGATACCATTAAAAAGCTTGAAGCTTGTGTTCATGATATCAAGAAATGGATGAGCTCTAATTCCTTGAAATTAAATCAAGAGAAATGAGAGCTGTTGTTTATCGGTTCTAAAACTCTATTAGACAGGGTGAGCCTTCCCTCTATTAGGGTTGATGATGATGTTATTACTCCGTCTAAATCATGTAGAAATCTTGGAGTTTTTTTTTATTCTACAATATCCATGTCTGTTCAGATCCCGGCTGTTTGTAAATCTGTCAGGTATCAACTACGTAATTTAGGCATTATTCGCAAGTATTTAACCCGCTCGGCCACAGAAAAAACAGTTCATGCCCTCATATTGTCTCGACTGGATTTTGGTAATGCACTTTTGTTTCAGCTGCCACAATCTCAACTTTCACGGTTACAAAAATTACAAAATTCAGCAGCCCGTATTGTTACCCTTACCAGACGTACTTCTCACATTACTCCTGTTTTGTCTTCACTACATTGGTTACCTGTTGAATCTCGTATTGTATTTAAATTATTATTGCTTGTTTTTCACTGTATACATGGATCTGCCCCAGAGTACAATATTAATTTGTTAATGCCTTATAATCCGCCTAGACGCTTAAGATCTTCTGATTCTCAATTGCTTGTTGTTCCGAAAACTAAGAAATCGTGGGGGGATCGGTCATTTGCACACGCTGGACCGTACCTATGGAATCAATTGCCACAACATATTCGTTATATTTCAAGTGTTGATTGCTTTAAACATGCCCTCAAAACTCATTTGTTCAAAGCGGCTTTAGTTTTACTTTCACATTGTCGTTGTTCATTTTTGTGTGTATTTTTGTGTGTATTTATGTTAACTTATATCTTTTCTTCTCCATGCGCCTCGAACACATTATTCATGTGGAGTTAGCGCATTACAAATACTCTATATTATTATTATTATTAACTGTTAAGTCCAACTTAGAGATAAGTTCAACTTAGGATCTTTGTGGAACACTCCCCAGGATTTTCTGTTATAAGTATTCTCTCATATGGTGCACCCGTGAGCCTACTGTATACTACATCACCATGCAAGCCGATACTTACAAGCAGCATCTAACCCTCAAAGATTACTGAGAGTTCTTTTTCAGGACTCCTCAATCCTCCCTCTCTCTCACATGGTGCACCCGCAAGCCTACTGTATTAGTATTCATTTGTTTTATTTCTTATTTGTCAATTCACAGCCGCCGTAGGGGCCATCTTTGCCACCACGACAGGTGCGACCGCATCCTACAGAGGAAAGGACACGCCCCTTAACTACTTCATCGGAGGATGCACGTCAGGGCTCTTCTTGGGAGCAAGGAGTAAGTGTACCTCTTGGGTCAGAGGTCAAGGCCCTGTTTCTTCTTCTTCTTCTTCTTCTTCTTCCTCTTCCTCTTCCTCTTCCTCTTCCTCTTCCTCTTCCTCTTCCTCTTCCTCTTCCTCTTCCTCTTCCTCCTCCTCCTCCTCCTCCTCCTTCTTCTTCTTCTTCAGATTTTCTACCTCATCTCCTTATTATTATTTCCAATATTATTAGGAGTAAGTCGAGGGGTCAGTGACACAAAGACCTAACTTCATTTTGAGAAAAAGTGGTTTACATTATGTGTCACTGAGCACTTGGGCCTTCAGGAGTGAAGTCTGTGCTTCTCTAGCCATTGACTTCAATGGGGTGTTGCGTGGAGTTAAGTCTTCGTGTTTCCGTGAAAGCCCACATTTTCCTGAACATTTTGATATCAAATACTAATTTTGGCAAAATATGGAGTTACGTCTTTGTGTCACTGAACCCTTGAAGTGTACCTCGTCTCTCCTGAGTCAGGGCCCTGTTTCATAAAACTTGTCATCCATAACCAGTTACAGTAACTGTTATAAGCTACTGAAATTGTGGCGTTAAATTGGCTGAGACTGAGAGCAACTTTGTTATTGAAATGAAGCATTTGTTATATGTTCCTTAGTTTGAAGACTTGTTATTCCAGGGTAGCTGTATGGATTGGGGGATCTCTAGTAACATGGCTTATCAAAACATATTTCTGAGGAGAATGCCATTTTACAATTTTATTTTCCTTTGAGTAAAATAATAGTTCATATGAGAAATGTGCCTATTACATTTCATGGTTGGCATAGTAATTCAAATTTAGTTTTTACAAAGAATATTGAAAAACAATTTTATATTGCGTGTAATATAAATCTGGAAGACTAACTGTTTCTCTCTCTCTTCCTCCCTTCTCCATATTTTCCTTTGCATATCTCTCCATTTCTTTCCATATCCATCTCTATTTTCTTTTCCCCTTCTCACTTACCATCTACCTCCATCTTTTCCTCCCTCCTCCATTTATGTTTCTTTATTTTCCTATGTCCCTCTCCTTTTTCTCTCTCTCTCTCTCTCTCTGTTTCGTTTTCTCCTTTTTATATCCTTGTCCTCCTTTGTCCCTCTCCATATTTCCATTTTTAACTGTGTCTCTATCCCTTTGCCTGAAATTCTCTCTCTCTCTCTCACACCTTCCCATTTCATGTTCACCCTTTTATTTTCTTCTATTTCCCATCCCTTTTCTCATTCTCTCCTATTATCTGTAATCTCTTTTCTTCATTGTATATCCTTATCTTCTCTTCTCCCTCTCAATATGTCCATGTCTATTTGTGTCTTTATCCCTCCGCCTGACAATCTCTCTCTCGATTTTATTTTCTTCTATTTACCGTTCTTTTTCTCTTTCTCTCCTATTATCGGTTATATCTTTTCTTCTTTTTATATCCTCTTTTCTCCCTCTCGATATTTCCATGTCTATACGCGTCGTTATCCCTCTGCTTGATATTCTCTCTCATTCTCTCTCTCCCTTTACCTCAATTTAATTTCTTCTCTTTCCCATCCTTTTCCCTCTTTCTCCTCTCTCTATCACCCCCCCCCCCCTACTTTTCCTGTCTATTTCAATCTCTTCCTCTCACAGTGCAAAGTATGGGAGTTGGCTCTGGGTCCTGTGCAGCTTTAGGAGGTGCGGCAGCCTTCTACAAATACTGGAAAATCCATGACTTTGGACCCTTTATTCCTAGACCTAAATACTAGTTCTTAGTGTTAATCAAGTTATTTTAAGTTTGAGAAGGGATCAGAGTGGTGCATGAGAGTAAAACAAAAAAGATGGGAACCCTTTCTTTGACCTAAATACTAGTTCTTAGTGTTAATCAAGTTATTTTAAGTTTGAGAAGGGATAAGAGTGGTGCATGAGAGTAAAAAAAAAAAGATGAGAACCCTTTCTTTGACCTAAATACTGATTCTTATTGGTAATCAAGTCATTTTAAGTTTGAGAAGGGATCAGAGTGGTGCATGATAAATGAGAATGAGAGTTAAAAAGAAAATGGGGAACCCTTTCTTTGTGACCTCTTTACCAATGCCATGAGGCTAATCAATGGATTTGTTTAGATTGAGAAGGGATAAGAGTGGTGCATTGCTAACAAGTGTATCAAAGAATGGGTCCCTTTCTTTCTGCCCCTTATACCAGTATCATATTGCTAAGCTATGATTTTCAGATAGAGATGGGATAAGAATGATGATGCATAACAAATTATGGAAGCAAAGAATGGGACCTATTCTTTCAGTCCCCAAATACAAATATCATACTGCTTATCAATAGATTTTTTAATTGAGAAGGGAGAAGAGTGGTGTATCATCAACATGAAGGAATAGGAACCCTTCTAGAAAGCAAATACTGTATTACCATTAAAGATCAAGCAATTTTTAGAAAAAAGAAGGGTTAGAGTGGTGCATTATCAATGTCTTCTTCATGACTCTCAGTAATAATACTTTGCTCATGAAGACAGTTACGACAGAGAGAGGTTAAGAGTGGTGCATTGTAACACAAGGGCATCATGTACATGTTTACTCCATTGAATGCTGTATTCATAAAGTGAAGACTAACATTTAGTGAGTCAATACAAGTGCTGTGCAAGAAGTAGTAAGGGGAAAGACACCACTATCATTACATACAGGGAGCATTGTTTGTGATTTGCCCCACCCCTCTCATGAAACATTTGTATGAATTAATATCACCACTCTTTTTTGTGAGATCTCATGGAAACTGTGTGTCTTGCATTGTACATATAGAGAATTTACATGAATATTTCAACTAGTGTTGAATAAAATGTCTTGAAACAATATATTATGTGTGATGATATTATTCATTTATTTGATATGTTCTGGTTGAGCCAAGTAAATATCCCTAGTTTCTATCCTAAAATAAGAGAAATAATATCTTTGTGTGAGAGAAAATTGTTGGAAGTAGCAGGCATCATGAATTACAAGCAGCTGGGAATACTTGCACATGTACTAGTGTGGGTGAATTGCCATTTGGTCTACAACCAGTTTGTCTGCTACCCAATTAGTCTATTCCCATATGGTCTACACACAGACCGTCAACTATCCACCTTGTCTAATACTCATTTCGTCTACTCACTATTTGGTCTAATAGTCATTTGGTCTAATCTCCATATGGTCTAAATCTCCAATTATTCATACTTCTACCCATTTTTGTGTTCAGACAGTACTGTTCTTTTAGTCTGATAACCAGTTTGTCTCCCATCCATAAGGTCTAATAATCATTTAATGTTTATATTTATGATTAAATGATTATTAGACCATATGGATAGCAGTCAAAAATTGGAATTAGACAAACTAGGAATTAGAACGAATGATAAGTAGAGAAAATGATTATTAGACCATGTAGATAGATGACGCCGACAGGCTGGGTGTAGTTACAAACGGCAATAAACCCTTGTGTGCATAATCCTATCATTTTTGTTTGCAAATTGCATGATTGGTAAAATTTCTTGAAGAAAAGAAAATCCATTCTAAAATACATGTACAGTACAGTGTACATTTAATTTAATTCAAAGTGATTGATGAAAAAGTAATTCGAACAAATTTCAATATCCTATAAAAATGACGGTTGTGATCAAATTGTGACAACTTAATGTGCAAGTTTGGGGTTTAATGGAAATAATTGAACAATTACAAGCTATTTGCAACAAGAATATTTCCTTTAGCAACCCTTGTTAATTGCCTAATTTTTATATTTACACTGTCATTAAATTTACAAATCATATAAATACACCCGGAGGAAACATTTTCTAATTTGAAAAAGGATGAATTGCATCCAAAATGAAACAACAGAAATTTATGATTTCCTAGGACATGAAGATGTGTTCAACAATGACAAAACAAAACAGACAAACGATTCCACCCCCTTCCCCCAAAAAAAGAAACGGCCCACCTTCAATGGAATTGAAGGTCATGCACTTGATTGTGTGTTGCTATTATGAAGATGGGGGGGGGGGGGGGGGGAGGGGACATCACAACCAAAACCCCCCGCTTATTCACCGGCTGGCTGAGTCGCCGCTAAATATTTTCTCATGGATTTGCCCCCCCTCTCCCTCTTGCCACTGGCTGGATCTGCCCCTGAAGTGAGGTATCAGGCAACAATACAAATCGAAACACAGAATAATCTTTTCACTCTGCTCTGCAACATTGTAATAAAAACTCATAGTAAAATGGACAGTACATGTATATACTTTTTAATCACTTAAACAGCACCAACTGCGGATGGTCTGTTTTCTTTATTCCATCCAACTCTCTCTGCAGCTAACTTTGGGCCAACTTTCTTGATTAATAGATTGGTCTACTAATCTATTCAAATTGATGGATTTTTCTTTCCTAAGGACCTACTCACCTTTTATTAATGAATGAACTGCAATACTTGAAATACAGTCTGCATACAATACTTGTTGCTTTGTTTGGCAAGCCTCATGAAAGCTTTCAGTTTGTCGTGAACAGCCTTTGTTTAAAAACTATGCATAAAATTGAAATTGTTAGTAAACCTACTTATTGAGTCACAACCTTGAAATTTGCAATTTGCTTCAGCTTATTGGCATAAAAAAAAGGAAGATTTATACATGTAGTAACATCTGCAGTATAACATCTGAATTCAAACTTCGGTAGGCAAAGGCATGTCATGAACGGACAAATACAAATGTAGAATTTCAAGCATAGCCTTTACAAACAAAAAATGATGAGAATATTGTTTCATTGTCGATGTGGAGCAAATCCTAAATACATGCCCCCCCCCCTCCTATCTGGTGTACATGTAATTCTCAGTTGCATAAATGGCCTCCCCCGGTCCCCCCCCCCCCCCCACAAGTATTTGTGTAATTATTCACTTCATCAATCAATATAAATATTTCTTTGCTGTCTCTAGAGAGCTGACAATAACATGTCACATACACATTACATGTTCATAAACTATATTGCAGGGCTGCACACGGAAGAGGGTCTGTATCAACCGTTTTTAATTCTGTACAGGTACATGTATTAAAGCACAAGCCAAATGTAAATATTTCAATTTCGATGTTGACTCTAGACTTCTAGTTTAGGTGTCCATTTTAGCCCTGGGCGCCCGATAGGGTCCAGCCTTGGGTTTTGCTAAAGGGGACAAAGTCCATCAGACTTGTAAACAGCAAGCTTTTCCATCATATCACGACGTCTGTCCGAAATGTAACTGTCTGTTCGTCTCTTTAGCTTCATCATGAAGCGTCTTCGCCCTCTCCTTGTATTTATTCGCCAAGGCGTCGTTCTTTGCGATCCCGTCTCCTAATTTATACATTCTACTCGCGTTCACGCATCCGTACATGTGACCGAGCTCACAACTCCTCGTCGAATACTCAATCGCCTTTTTCATATCCTTCTCCATGCCACCTAACCCCTTGAGGTACACAGCACTAAGATTGAAGCAACTCGCTTGGTGATCCTTTTTACACGCAGTCTCAAGTAGCTTGAGCCCTTTGTCCCTGTCTTGTTTTAAGTCCGAGTCTGGGGTACCTTTCTTGGAAGACAGGAAGACAGAGCCTGCACCAAAGCAGGCATCTTGGTTGCCTAGGTTACAGCCTTTGATGAAGTAATGAAGAGCCTTCTCCTTGTTCTTTTCAAAACCTGCATTATAATTTAAAAAAATGATAATGAATATATTTGTTTTGTGCAGTGGAACTTTATAAAAACAATAATCTGAATTTATACAGCGCTTAAAGATAAACTTGGGTTCTGGTAAAAAAGAAAAATTAATTCTCACAAAATCAAACGAAACTTACACTGAATGTTCAAGATTACAAATAAATGTCATTTGCCAAACATTTTTGGTAGAAAAAGTTTACTGGCTGAGTAATGAGCATAGAAAGATGCGGAAATCAAGGTAAGTAGCCCCGACATCATTTTGTGTAGTCCCATATGCATCTTTCTGTGTACAGTGCTTGTTACTTTACCAAGACTGGACCAAATTTATTATGATATTGATGACTCCAGAACCTTGCAGTACACACCAATACTTACATGCTACATGATCAACTTTTTCTGATCCATTCCTCACCTTTTCTTTCACAATGCAATCACATGACCAGAACTCAACTTTATCTTTAATATGAAATACCATCTCTAAGTGTTGTACAGATATTATTACCCCGGTCATCTCATTCCTTAACATACACTGTCTCCACTCCCTGGGGAGTATTCCTACCGTACGGTCACCGTGAGGGCATATGGCAAAGAACAGCAAGAAGTGCAGGAGGAGGGAAGAAGAAGAAGAAAAGAAGAAGACAAAGAAGACGAAGAATAAAAGGAGAAGAAGAGGAAGAAGGAGAAGAAGATGGAAGGGGGAGAAAGAGGAGGATGAGGAGTTGCCCTTAACCCCATCTCTCTTCTTTTTTTCTTTCTTTTTTTTGGGGGAGATGGGTGTCCTTTTAAGTGGATTTGTGAACATTCCTGCAGCTGCAGAGGGTATTGACTCAATGTCACTTTATAGGATTCAATTCAATTCAAATTTTATCGTCCAATTATTGGAAAGTTGTTTCGTTTGCATGTCAATACAAAACTACAGATTATAAACATCAATAAGATACAAATGGATACAGAATAGTACATTTGACTTGAACATGAACACGAAATGCGATAGTTCAAAATGCAGACCAAAATTCAATTCATATTCAGACTAAGTAATTAAATTAAATTCATACTTCAGATTAAATTAAATTCATTATTCAGATCAAATTCATTATTCAGATCAAATTCATTATTCAGATCAAATTCAATTCAGATCCCGATTCTTACCTTTTCCGTAGAGGTAATAAGCCCCAGTCTTACTGCAGCCCCTAGGATGGTCAAAGTCATCACAGCTCAACTGATAGGCCTTGGCTGCTTGGGGGAAGTCATTCTTTACACCCGCAAAGAAGTCACCGAGTCTGAAACAACCTGTATTCAGAAGAGGAAGAAGAGGAAGAAGAGGGAGAAGAGGAAGAGGAGATGACAGAAGGAGAAGGAGGAGGAGGAGGAGGAGAAAGAGGGAGAGGAAGAGGAGGAGATAAAGGATGTGACAGGAGGAGAAGGAGGAGAAAGAGGAGAAAGGGAAGAGAAGAAAAAGTAGTACATGTAGATGAAGATGAAAAGAAAAGAAAGAAAAAGGAGGAAGAAAAGAAGATTTAATGAGGGGAAAAAAAAGAAGAAAATGTAGAGGATAAAAGGGAAGAGAGAGAGAGAGAGGACGAAAAAGAATGACAACATTAATAATCGGCTTGGGTTGTTTTTACTTTGAAAAGAGAAGAATTGACATCTTCCTGTTAATGCAAACACTCATATTCATAAATCAACCTGCATAGAATAAATGGCATCGATCATCACAACATAGAAAACCACTTTTCTTGATCTCCACAATCACAATGGAGTCCGATAGATCTACAAAGCATTTCATTTCATCAAATGCATTTATCTCTTGCTACCTCAGTGAGAGTCAGACTCAGAGCAGAGTCACCTTTCCATGTCATGATTAGGGTTTAGAAATTGACACTTGAGAAGGTAGTCGAGTTGACATGCAGACAGTGCACGTGCTAGAATCTATGTGTGTGATACACACTTACTAAATCATCTGGATTCCTAAATCCTAATCCACAATTACGACGGCTAATGATCATAATAATTATTAAGCCTGTATTATCAAAGTTATTCCGAAGCGTTTATGAGTGGAAAGTTGCTTTGGATTGATTCGAAACACACTAGGGCCCGGTGCGAAGCCAAGCAGCAGTACTACGACTGCGGCAGCGCCCAGACCAACCGGGCACAATACCAGGGGCTGGCCTGCCATGGCCATGGACACTTGCACAATGTTATACTTTTTTCACTTACCATCGGGTGTCTTTTCCTTGTAGCATTGGAAGCTATATTCTGTTCCTACATTCTTGATGTAGTCTTTGACTTCATCCTCGTTTTGAAGTCCACATTAAACATCTTCAGCAATCTTTTTGGTGGAGAAAACCAGGGAATACAGTACAAAATCTCGTCTGCTTCGGTTCGTGGGTGATTCCATAACTTCCCAGAAATTACGCAATTTATGAATAACGCCATCTGCGGCAAATCACGATCGTCAATTTACTACTACGTACCGGTCTAGACGCTCGCGTTACATTGATTGATTGATTTTTATTCGGAGCAATATAATTTTTTTTCTGGTACAATATAACTGTTTATCAAGTTCAAGTTCAAGTTTATTGTCTTTCTTCCAACATGAATGTAATACAATTTAAAAATATTATAACACGTGGAGTATATAAAAAGAAGACTGAGAAGGAACAAGTTCATAATATGCATTTAAGTGAAAAGAAAGACGAGTAGAGGTCAGGTCCCTCAAAACTCGTATCATATTGACAAAAAACAATAGGCCTACTACAAGAAATGTTCGTTAAAGGCGCTTAAAGTACTAAAACAAATAACTATAAACTATAACCATATGATTATAAACATGGGTAAACTGAGTAATATGAAGAGACCCTGTACAAAAGGGGGTACTAAGAGTGATAACGTGAGATATATAGAAATAGAGCCGGGGCGCCGAGGGGCGGGAGAGGGAGAAAGTCGGAGAAAGAGGGGGGGGGGGGAAGGAAGAAAAATGGACAGACTTTCACTGTAAGCTAAAGGCTAGCTACAGCTAGCGAGAAAAGGAAAGAAAAGGGAAGAAAAGGGAAAAGACAAGTCGGTAGTTGCTTTACAGTACTAACTTGAGGAATAAATTAAGTTTAAATATAAATCAAGGCAGCATCACAATTATATATAGATTAAGAATCAACTAAATAAGTATTCAATAAGTATAACTTCAGTTTACGTTTGAAGACACTGATAGAAGTGCCTGAGTCAAGAGTGTTCCAAAACCTTGGTCCATGCAGTGCAAACTAAATTGTTGAGAGTAAACTTTGTCCTTGCACGTAGGGGTGGAATGCAGAATTTAGCACCTCTTGTGGCATTTAAGGAACCCAATCGCATATAATAAATATCTTCTACCTTCACAATTATATGATGATACAAAAGAGGATTGGTATAAGCACGAAAGTCAGCATTACAGATTGTTCTTATTACCCTCTTTAATTTGAGACCAGAATAGTGTATCTAATTGTGTTATTAGAGATTAATTTTGCCCCAGGCAAGCACACCATAATTAATATAAGGTAGCAATAATCTTGAATATAAAATAAGTAACATGCTTTCGGCATGCTTTAGAGAGGAAGACCAGAATTCAATTTACGAATTACACCAGTATTCCTTGACAATATTTTGCATAGATTATCGATATGAGTTTTCCATTTCAATTGTTCATCGATATGGAGAGCTAGGAATTTAGTTGAGTACCCTGTAAAGGCGCGTACGCAAGGGGAGGGGGGGGGGGCGGTGTTTTGGGGGTTAACCCCCCTCAATTTTTTGTTTGCTCAGGGGGGGGGGGGGTGCTGATAAAAAAAAGTAAAAATGCTCACTAATTGTATGATCTCCCAAAGCTGTTTTAATTGTTTTTAATTTGAATTCCAAGTCCTTTCACTATAGCAATGATCGTATTATATATAATTATTTATGTTAATTGTATGATCTCCCAAAGCTGTTTTAATTTGTTTCTAATTTGAATTCCAAGTCCTTTCACTATATCAATGATCGTATAATATATAATTATTTATGGTAATTGTATATACTTATTTATTTACTTATTATTATATACTTATTATATTTTGTACTTATTAATGATTTTATTCACCCATGTGTTTGTTTACCTTGTTATATTTTTTGTTATGCATTTTATATTGTAAAGTGACTTGTTTAGTCCTCGGACTTTTTAATCAGTACTTGAATAAAACCAAATATCTATCTATCTATCTAACCCTCGCCCCCCCCCCCCCAAGAGCGAAATATCGGTCTGCGCGATTTTCAAATTTGGGGGGGGGGGGGGGGCAAAAGGAAAAAAAAAACTTTATTGCTCACAAATCTTTTATGAACTTTGAAGAATCTATACTATTTTCTGAATATTGTATATTCATAATTATTAATTCTTCTATAAATAGTTTATCAAAGATCACTTTTTCATGATTTAACTGAAAAAAATAACTCTTTACTAGTGCATCCACACAAAACATATTACTGACTACCAATATAACTTGGATGATGGTGTGAGGAAATAAGATTCTCTGGGGGAAATGGGAAATTTATATTCTCAATATAACGCAATGACGTCACAGACTCATGAGTGAGTTGCCAATTTGTCTAGTGATTTTCAAAAATGTTCATGTCATTAAAGATTCATAACTTTTTTATTAGTAATCCGATTTTGCTCTAACTTATTTTGATTGGTTTTTCTGATTTTTCTGCTTCTATTATATGAAAGTTATTTTTGGAGTGGACTTGGCCGAGTCATACGTCCGAGTCATTTAAAACTATGCGCTGCCATAATATTTTGGGGATTCCCCGTGAGGTAATTGAGCTCGCGCGCCTGCAAGACATAGGCATTGAGTTACCAGGGCGTGGCATTGCGGGGTGTAAACTCTGATCCAATGCAATGCAGCATGTTATTGCGTCGCATTTCCAGCTAATTTCTCGAGATTAACGTAGATCGAATCTTGATTACCATCATCCAAGCTAGTGTAGACAGAAATGACACTTTCGTGAAACAGCAAACCACCTCAGTTCGCTGCGGCCGATTCGATCCGCACAGAAGCAGTGCATATTGCGTCCCCGGATTGCGTCACACGCATTTTGTTTCCTCATTCCCGTCATCCCATAGACTCTACTTGATCACAAGCTTTTTGCATGCATGCGGATGAACGAGTGGTTTCCATAACCGTGATACAGCCACAGAAGATAACCATCTGGTAAGTATTGGTTTGGGCAGTGGCGGATCCAGTGGGACGAGGGGCCCACGTACCCCCCCCCGCCCCCCCCCCCCCCCCCCCTGAGAAAAAAAAGGGAAAAAAAGGGGGGAGGGGGGAAAGGGGGGGGGGAAAGGGGGGGGGGGAAGGAAGGAAAAAAAAGGAGGAAAAAGAGAGAAAGAGAGAGAGAGAGAAGGACAAGAAGGGAAAGAGGAGAGAAAGGGAAAGAAAGAAGAGGGAAAAGAAAAGGGGGAAGAAGGAGATCGGGGGGGGGGGGGCTGACGGGTCAACAACAAAAACAAATCTGGTTTCCATTCGATAACTTGAGTAATGTTTGACAAATTTTACTGAAATTTAATATGAAGTTACATGGTATCAAAATACATGTACAGCCTAAGTTCTATTTCAGAGTATGTAGGACAAATGTGAAAGGTCATAGCTCATTAAATATGCAAAAACACCTAATTGTATATGTGAAAATGTGTTTAACTTCCTTGCCTAGTAATGTAATAGTATAGTCCAATGGAGGTAAGTTCTGACGTATATAGGCCATTTGTACTAATTGCAAGGGATGCTATGCTTTGCGTTGACTTGCAATAGCTTTAATTCATGAATCTTTTACATTTGTATTTTGTCTATACTCTCTGCAGCTACATGCATGTCATTAATATGAGTAATTCGCATAGTAAACAGAACCCCCTTTTTTGTCAACTACAGGATGCCTTGCTGGGGTATTATCATTTGTGTACCTTTCCTGATCGAATGAGAAGGACATCTTGCACCATGGGTGGATTCTGCCTTCTCTATCTGCTCATGATCCTCCTGATGAGATCTGGTGATGTTGAAACCAACCCTGGACCAGACAGGTCAGTCTATAATATTTGAAGCTTAATTTCCTTTTCTTTATCGCAATAGTAAATGAGCAGTAGGGATATTAAAGTACTTTTCTTCTTATTATTAAAGCATAACACCACATATGATACATGCATGCCAATTTTTCTTCTGTATTCAAGTGCACTGCTTAATAAGGTATAAGCATACATGCCAACTGTTCAGATTAAAGAGGAACATTCCTCTTTTTGGGAGAAGATAATTATCATTTTAATGCAGGTGTTCCTCTTCCTGTACAAATTTCTCTGTAGTATTGAATAGGAGAGTTAGGATTGTTCCTCTTTTTTTTGAAAATAGCATAATTTGTACAGATTTCTGATTTTCAAATGTTGGCATGTATGTATAAGCCTTGTGTGTGTATATATATGCTTCAATATACCTTTAAATAAATCTTATCAGTACCGGTACATATAGCTTAACCCTTACTCTACTGGGGGGGGGGGGGGGGGCTGGGAGGCCCCCCCTCGACATTTTCGAAGATCGCACCGGAACCGCTTGGAATTTTGAATTGTCGTTTCATGACTTTTTCCCCTCAAGTCTTGCGCACATTTTGATACCATTTTCTTCGAAATCGGATATACCTGTAAGGCGTTACATAACAATTAGTATGCGCATGTCATCAAAAAAAGTGCTATAATTGCATATATTCATGTACAAGCAGAAATGTGAAGATATGAATTGAAATCAAATTGCTTTTATATGTTTCTCAGAGTAACTTGATGTATTCCAGAACAAAAGAATACATTAGAAATAAAACAATAGATATAATAAGAAATAAAAAACAATAAAATACAGAAGAAAATAAATAGTTGCATCAATCGCATCAAATTTGCATAAATTGTCATTATTAATTACATCAAATAACTATTTTGTCTTAGAAAAGAAGTTTCATATGAACAATGAGTTTCAACATTCAAAAAGTGGAGTCTGACAATTTTTGTCATGATTCTAGTTCCCTAAATATAGTTCCATATTTGATATTCATGAATGCGTAATTTGCGTATTCATAATTTATGCAAATTAACCTATGTATTTTCAAATTTCATAAAAATTATGAAACCTCATTAATTTGAGATGAAGGAAACATTTATTCAATACATTTTCAAGATTCTTCACAATTCTATTTTCTGTAAAATGCATAAAATTAGCATTTTGCATAATTAATTAGGCTATAACGACAAAAATTTGCATATTAGGAAAAAACTAATTATACCATGTTGTTCCTTGCGTAAATATCTACAAATATACATATCTACAAATCAACGGCCGAGATCATAGGGGGGGGGGGGGGGCTCCCAGGCCCCCCCCCCCCAGTCAGAGGGTGCTCAAAATAGCCCAGTACAGTAAGGGTTAAAATCAATAGCAGGGGCGGATCTAGGGGGCACAGGCCCCCCCCCCTGCTTATTCAGTAGCTGTCTGAATTGTTGCAACATTTTCGGCCCGATTTAAAAATTGTTAAACCCCCCCCCCCTTGAAAAATCCTGCGTACGCTACTGATTTCACCTGATGACATTTTGTGCCCCCCCCCCCCCGGTAAGAAATTACTGGATCCGCCACTGAATAGGTATGTGCATGAAAGAAAAGTGCAGGTACTGAAAGTGCTCAACTGTAGGAGCTAGCTAGCTATTTGTAGGTATGAGTAGTTTATTCTTCCATGTAGTTAGTTGTAAAGTCTTTTTCACCTGAATATGCTCATCAGCAACTGAACTAAACTTACAAAGTATGAAGATAGGTGCTGAAATGAATGTACAGTAGGGGTTAGAACACAATAAGAGATACATATTTAAAAGATGCTTAAAATCTTTTTTGAATTACAGGATTGTCAGTGAGGAGGAATTCATAAAGCTCTCCAAGCTAATTGCACCTAGCTACTACAAAGAGGTGGGCGTTCACCTGAAGTTCTCCATCGCAGAGCTTGGTCAAATCAAGGAACGTAGCCTAGATACCAGTGATGCATTGATAATAGTGTTTACGAGATGGAGAGACAAACAGCCTCCAGGCACAGACATCAGGGCTCTTCTTGCAGAGGAATTAAAAAGAAGTGACTTAGGGTCCCTCTCTGGCGAACTACTCGCTGGCAGTCTAGTCCCAAACAGGACAGGTGAGAATAAAAAAGAAATCATGTCTGCTACTCGCAAGAAGGCCCTTACTGCCATTGATAATGTATTGCCTTTGCAGGTAGCCAAAAAACACTGTTTTGACATATTTTCGTTTGATTCAAATAGTTTTTTTTTTTTTTTATAGCTGGACATCCTAGTAGACAAACAGCTCACGAGACTGATACTGCTGGTCTGTTAATGAATCCTCAAAATAGTTGTCAGAACACCCACGGTACTGGCATTGGCGGTCTTGTGGGCTGTCAGTCCATGGGCTGTGACCATTGATACATGGTTACAGACCCATTCACTTTGTGTTGTGTAAGGGAGATGATTTAATTATTTTTACATGAATTAAACTATACAAGGAATGGCATTCAAGCCCATCAGTCATTTTCTGACTTTTTTTTCTTCAAGTTATGCTCATCTTTTGGCACCAAGTTTATGAAAATTGTACCATTACAGAGTCCTTTTATCTTTTGTGAACCTATGTCTGTCCCAAAATGAAGAACTTCTTAATTTTGTGTACCGGTACAAAAAAAAGAACACTACATTTCTCATAAGTACTTTCTATATCATTTGGAATTGTTCTTTGAGCTGTAATTCGAATAGGTTTATAAGGTTCATCATTATTGTCTATATTAGCGATTGAAGTTTGTGATATTTACATGGTATATAAATACGAAAATATTAAATAGACAAGTAAACATTCAATCAAAGAGACAAATTCTATTGATATATTACGGTAAGAAAAAAAGCATAGACATGTCATGCATCTACAATAGTATACATGTGTGATGTATAGAAAACTGAAAAGACAATATATTATCATCAGTTATTATTGAATATTTGTCCAGATACCACCCTCAAAAAACAGAATTAAAAGAATGAAAATGTAAAGCTGATTAACAATAAATACAATAGAAATTAGTTTATGTGTTTATGTGTATATGTTATAAAGACCCTCAAATGAAACATTTGGATATTCAGAAAAAATTCTGGTGATCTTAAAGATTAATTTAAATCGTCGAACTTATGTTATTAAATTCAAAGGTGCACCTGTAACATTGCCAGGATCACAGACCCAACCACTTTCTCCTGACCAGATCAAGAGATGTGCAGATGATTTCAAATTCAAGTACCGGACAACTCTCTGTAAGATCAGAGCTGATCCTCTCAACCCTGACTCCATTGGGCCATTCAAAGACATGTACACAAACCTTGTCCTGGAAGAGGAATATCGACAACGCAAGCGACCACTTGAGTACGAGGATCTCTTTGATCTTGAAGTCAATGGAGAGTTCCCCAAGCGGATCGTGATTCAGGGAGAAGCTGGGGCTGGAAAGACAACATTCTGTGCTAAGATTGCCTGGGACTGGATCAATGACAGTCCTGTTGTCCCAAAGTTTGTGTGGGTAATTGTTGTCCCTTTTCGTGAAGCCAAGCAATACACGATCGGTGAGATTGCCAAGTTGTATCTCTCCAAGGACAACCCAGCAACAGCTTGCCAGATCACTGAGTACATCCGGTCAAATCCAAAAGATGTATTCATTGCGTTTGATGGATTAGATGAGTTTGATGGCAAGGTTGTACAACAAAGGAAAGCTGGTTCAAAGTCAGAATGTCACCAGCCAAAGTCTGCTGATCAAACCAAGGCAAGAGGAAGTTCTTCCGAAACAGGTGACATTGCACTTAGAGACATTCTTCGTTCAGATGAACTTGCCGCTTGCCCGGTGTTGGTGACAAGTCGCCCATGGAAGGTCAAAGAGATTAGATGGGATGATAGTCTTAGGAAACTGTACACTTTCATTTATGTGGAAGGTTTTAGCAAGGAGAATGTGGAAGTTTACATTCACAAGTACTTTGAAGACAATTTGGCCACAGCAGATCAGCTTATCCAATTAACCAAAGTCAATGACATCATATCTGAGAATATGGCCCCGTATCCTATCTACATATCTATGCTCTGTCATATGTGGAGAGAACTTTGTGATGAAAAACGAGAAAAGTTTAAGTCATTTCAAACTTTCTCTCAAATATTTGATGAAATGTTTGAATTCCTGAAGGTGCATTATGTTCAGAAAGAAATAACAGATTTAGGCAGCCCATCATTCCAAAAATATCTCTCTCAAATTGAGAAGCTCTTGGAACCAGTTGCCAAAATTGCTTTCAGGGGGCTACAGGAAAACACCCTTATTTTCAAAGAAGGTGTTTTTGAACAGTGCTCAGACTCCATGGAAGCAGCTTGCAGAGTAGGGGTGTTGTCTCAGGAGAAAAAATTGTCATCTATATATGATACGAGCGGTCCACCCCTGCAGTCTACTATCTTCTTTCCACACAAACTTTTTCAGGAGTACATGGCTGGGGTCCATCTTGCTTCCCTGTATGAATTAGATCACAATGAATTCAACAGGCTGATTGAGGAAGTAATGCTGCCTAGGAAGGAAGAGTTTAGGTATCTCCTGTACTTCACCGTATCACGGAACAAAACCATTGCAAACCATGTCATGAAATGCATGTTACAAGCTTATGGAAACGGTGCGTGGTATTTCTTTGATGATATTCAACTAGAAGAGGACAGGAATTTCTGGGTTGATTTATCCTTTGAGAGTCAGGACCTCGATACCGCAGCCTTGGTGAGGGATCGAAAGTCATATCTGCAAATACACAAAGATATAGACGCACACACTGTAGCAGGTTTTGTATTCTCTGGAATACATCTAGATGTGGTAAGTATACATACATTAACAAGTAAGCACAAATCCAACGCGCATGTTTTATTAATGGATCAATAATATGCATATGTGCCACTCTCTTACATGTAGTAGTACCAGATAATCTGGGATATGATTAATACTAATGATCTTTTAAAGTGACTAAATACCGGTAGTAACGATATTGACTGGCCATTTTTTTTTCGGGGGGGGGGGGGGTGGGGGGGGGGGGGTGATTTTAAACCACATTGCCCTCATTCCAGATCAGGCAATGTGATAATACTTGGACAAGATAGTTTCACATACCCATCACTGGTATCGGCATATATTTGTTATTATTTTAGTAAGTTTTATTAGACTACCAACCCTTTTCTGGTCAGAAACTAAGCCATCTTGAAATGGCATTCTGCACAGCAGTTTTGCAGCAACCAGTCCCCTTCTTAATTTGATGCTCAGACTTTAGAGTAATGATGAAGGGTCAATTTGGAGGCCCTTTGAAAATGGCCTTTCTTGTCATGCTGCATTACAGACAAAAAGTTATACAAGACACCCCTCAAAAAAAAAAAAATATATAAATAAATAAATTTTAAAAAAAATTAAAATAATAATAACAATAAATAATTGAATAAAGTAGCCCTACTCTGATGATGAACCACTTTAAAATACACATTCTGTAATATTTCAATCTTGATGCAGGAACAGTGACAGAAGCATCAACATAATTCCAAAAAATGACACCTACGAAAGGCATTCGACTCTGTTAATCATAGATTATTACTAGATAAGTTACAACTGTATGGCATTACGGGACAAGCATTATCATGGTTCGAATCATATCTTGTACACCGGGCACAATGTACCTCTTTGCTAGGTACAAAATCTGACGTGCTAATGTTAAAGTCTGGAGTCCCCCAGGGATTCATGTTGGCCCCCCCCCCCCTTTTCACTCTATTCATGAACGATCTTCCATCAGTCATCGAGCACGGTAAAGTGATTATGTATGCAGATGACACTGCCCTTCTTTACAGTTCTTCCAATCCAAGGGAAATCGAAATATGTCTTAATCATGATTTGGATTGTGTGAGAAAGTGGTTAGAAAGAAACCAACTTACCCTGAATACGGACAAGACATGCTTCATGATTTTTGGAACACCGCAGAAATTGCTGAACTTGCAATACAAACCAATCGTAATAAAAGTTTCTAATGTACCAATCAAGCAAGTTGAAAGTGTAAAATATCTGGGAGTTTGTCTAGACCAGCACATGATGTGGCAGGATCATGTGAAATACACTTCAAATAAAATTGCCTGCAGGTTGGCCCTACTTCGTAGAGTCAGGAAATATCTCACAATTGACAGTGCCAAACTACTTGCCAATTCTATTATCCTCCTTGCTATGACTATTGTAGTGTCTCATGAATTACTTGTAATAAAAGAACAAAAGATATCTTGATTAAGCAACACAAGCAGATGGCAAGAATTGTCCTAAAAATAAATACATTGATTCCCACCTCCGAAATGTTTAGAACCCTGAAATGGGTTGATATGGAAAAAAGATAGGAATTCAATAACAGTAAATTAATGTATGATATTATGAATAATAGTGCCCCATCATATTTATATGACATGTTCACCCTGTCCGCCCATACTCATAGATACTCAACAAGGAATGCTGAAAATTTGGGCGTTATTATTCCAAGAATTAAAACAGAATGAGGAAAACGAGCCTTCTTAGTTGATGGTGCTCTTCAGTGGAATAGCCTACCCCACTCAGCGCGAAGTCCTCAGACAAAGAATACCTTTTGTTCTCTCTATTTTAAGCAGCGATGTTAAAGATAAATTTGCCTTTCTTTATATCTTTCATGAATATTTACATACATTTCTCAATATAATAATTTGTTAAAATCTGAACAGATCATTGATAAGAATAATCAGAGTATATTTTTATCGATTTTAAATTGCTCATTGAAATTTATCATTCTTCCTACGACTTTGTTTCATTATTCACTCTTATTCTTTACTTATTTTCTGTTATATGTCACTATTTACTGATGTTTTCGATGATTTTTATATTGTTCAGGTAGTTTGTATCTTCATATATGTTGCATTTGTTTACAGGACCCCCTGGAAAACAATACTGTGATTACTGACGGGGCTACCCTGATTAAATAAAACGGAATAAATAAATAAATAAATTCCAGATGGCCTTGAACTTTAGCAATGCACACTGATTTTTTTCATATTGTGTTTATTTTTTATGTTTTGTTTATAGACCAACCTTGAGGTGAATGACAGCAGACTTGTACCAACTATATCCCATGATGTGGTGGAGATTATATGCTCTGCACCCTCTCTAAAGCGTGTTACAGTAAATCAAGCAGCCTTGCACAGTGACTCCTTAGTAGTTCTTGCTAAAGAAGGAAACAAGTCTAAGGTGAGTGAAAATACATATTATAATGTCTTTGTGTAGCCTATTGGAGGGGGGGGGGGGGTGGGTTGTTTGTAAAGACGCAGAACATCAATCGCTTAAAAATTGTGAGAAATCACTGTGATTACGGTTGTAAAATAACGTTAGGTTGGGTCGAGAATTCATGGTGTTCTCTAGTTGGCAAAAAAATATAACCTATCACTTATAACTAACATTTTTCTATGTCATTATATAATCAGTTTTCTACATTTTTATAGCCATGAGGCATTGAAAAGTTATATGCCCACTTCCCTGTAATTTCCTCTAAATACTCACCTCATTTAACTATCAATACCAACTAGGAGTGCTTTTGTGTTCTTGATTGCTTGCAAGTGAACAATACCGGTAACCTTTAATCCATCAAATAAAGACCACAATAAATAAGTTTACCCAACAGACGCTTTACTTCTTACTATTCTAAAAAGCGCCTTTGATGGTGAGAGAGAGCGAGGCCAGCATGCTTATTTCATACAATCACATTAAAGGGACTTTGTAACATTGTTCAGATGAGAGAAATTGGTGCTAAGGTAGTCCTGAATGCTAAATGTACAATTAAAGATAAACTGAAAGTTTGAGTGAAAACAGATCATTATTAATTATAAAAATTGGGTAAAAACTGATCTGATCGATTCCTAAATTCTCCCAACTAGATTATTACAATTTAATTACATTTTAGGTGAATGTAAATCATCACAAAGCAATGAATTGGCTATATATGCCATTCCATACATTTAAGTGTTGAACGATGTTTAAAAGCCTGTCATGTGTCTAATTTTCATGGAAAAATGGTTGGGAGAATTTACTGTTAGAGGGTGTCGCAAAGTGACGCCTTCAAATATTTTTGTGGTTTCAGAATTTGTTCAGGATTTTTTGCATGCTAGAGGGTTAATACAGTAAAGGGAATAGACTAAGTAACGTTTCATCCAAAAACTACGCAGTTTTTCCATCAACCTTCAACAATGTTACCGAGTCACTTTAATATTTTTGGTTGCTTCTCTTTTAAATACAGAATCTTTTTGTAGTGCTTCCCTCTATTTAATTGTCACACAATATTACGCTTACTATTTAAAAACTATGAAACAAATTAAGCCATGCTGGGTAACTTTCAACAATGTGCTTCACTATGCACCATGAACTAAATAATTTAGTAACATATCCACTCTCAAATACATATACTAAAATTACTTTAAAAATATGATAGATAGCTCTCATAGTCTCATACTATGACATAATTCCTTTTAATAATCTAATGCTATGTTACATCTAATTACACAATATCAAAGTGTCAAAGTATCTTTGTGTGCAACAATTGTGCACTGCATGAACAATACATTATCACTGTTAGCCATTCATATTGCAGCAAACTTTTGATCTTCATGACTTTTGTATAATACAAATATGGCTCTAGTAACTTTAGAATTTCAAAGCTGATACTTAATCACATATAATTATGAATTAACATACCGTAAATCTCCGTGTATAAGAAGCACCCCTATTTTGGGGGCCAAGATTTTTTTTTTTTGCCCGACTCCGTAGGCCTCAAGCCAGGTCCGTGTTCAAAAACCCATGCGGGGAAGGACCTTCATTTTACTGCGAGGTGCAGTTGGAGGCGCCTATTTTTGCTTGTGAACTTGTCACAAATAATAGTAACAAGAAGTTATCAGAATAAAGAACTTGTCACAAATAATAGTAACAATGAAGTAATATCAGAATAATGAACTTGTCACAAATATTAGTAACAATTAATTTATAAGAATAATGAACTTGTCACAAATAATAGTAAAAGTAAAGTTATCAGAATAATGAACTTGTCACAAATATTAGTAACAATGTTGAATGAAATCATCAGAATAATGAACATTTGTTTTTAAAACTAAAAATGACAGACAAATTTTCCTCTAAGTCCAAATCCGGACATTCAGGTAGGGTTGTTCTAGTTTCCGAGTGGTATGACTGAGCTGGGGGACATTGATAGGCACAATTTATTTGCTGACATCTTCAGTATGGTCATCTCCTATTATCCATCCCTGACTCTTGACCAAGGCCTTACATATTCATCCACTGTTTATCCAAATGAATTTCAAATGTTTGAACGACCCAATTCTAAGATATCAAAAAAGTCGATACGTGTTTATATTGTTTCTCGCTACAGAGATCACAGTACCCCCTATAAAAATAAAATTGAATACCCTCAAAATTTCAGACATTATTAACTTTTTACAGACTACACTTTCTATGATTCGTCTATACCACGGCAAAGTGCCTGCCTTCTGATCTAACTGCCCTTTTAAAGGAAAACATAGATGTACATAATACATTCTTATCCAACAATAATGACCGTCGAATAAATTTTACCTATCCATTCCCAAAACCGCTATGGCACATTAATCAAGTATACATAGTGGCCCGGGCATATGGAATTCCCTGCCTTCGGATCAAATGAATATGATTTTGCATTCAAAGTAGAAGTGAAAAGAATGCTGTTTTCCCAATATAGTTTAATAATGAATGTTTATACATGTCTGCTTTATTAACACTGATATTTGCAACCAAATGTGACTCCTTCTCACTTCAACCCCTGCCCCTCCCTCCCTACCTCTCTCTCTCTCTCTACCTAGCATTCTTCTCTTTGCTGTACTTTTGCATCACCAGGTACTCCCTAATTTATGAATTTTGCTTTCAAGTCTATATTGTCAGGGCTTATCTTGGATCCCATGCAGGCCAGTTTTGTTTAAAATAGGTTCTTAATTCTTTATGTACATTTTAATGTATATACTGATGTTATTTTGTATTCAGAACTGAAAATAATAAATGAAATGAAATCTTACTGACTACGGTATAATGTTAATAAAATTTACGAAGTATTTTTCAACATATAGATACGGTACTACACATTCTCAGTGTCTGATTTAACTTTTAAAAGTAAACAAAGGATTAATATTTGGGAAACTACCCTGAGCAAATGAGTACTAGCTTTAGCCCCAACAAGACCCTTTCAGTAATGCGGTCTCTGACCACATGTTTACAAACTTCCACCACCCCCTCTATCTGCCAGTGCTAAACATATTTCAGTGATTCACTTTCTGTACAGATCCATACCCTCTGCCTTTATGATGTTCATTGTCCCACACCAGACTCATCACATGATGACAGCTAGTAAACAAAAGTTAAATAACAAGGAACATACATGTAGATCCAGAAGTATGTGTAAATTAATGGAGTTGAAAATCAGTTTGGCAATTTAACGTAACCTTTATATTAGTTATATTATGTTCAAGACGAGCTGGGTTTTTAATACTCAACATCCTGTTTTTTTTTTTTTAAATATAAATATTTTGGTCGGATGTCATTACTCTGATGAATATGCAATAATTAAATGTACTACCACTGTAATGGTAAAAGTCAGTCATTTTTTATGCCTGCTCTGGTGAAAACAAATTCTGCGCTTACTACCCTGCAATAACCAATTTCTGAACTTAACCCTGCACCAGAACCTATACCTATAACCCTAACACTAAACCTATAAGCTCAATCCTAGTTGCAGCCCTTATCCAAATCCTATACCGGGTATATATATATTAAACTAAATAGAGCCCAGAGTATTTGTCAGCTGAGCATATAGCCAACTTTAACATGTATATCAGAGCACTCAGTTATATTTGCAGTTATTCAATAACAACATTTTTTCCCTCCTGATTTTACCCCGATTTTCCCCTTATTTACCCGATTTCCCCCCAATTTTTTTACTCAAAAAAGGGGGGATGTTGTTAGATGTCTCCCCCCGAATCCATTTTGTTTACTCAAGGGGCGGGGGGGGGGCAGGGGGAGGGGGTGGTTGAGGTTAGTGCTTACTGACACCTCTGATTTACTCTGGTAATCAGTGCAGTATGAATCACTGTTTGTTTACATGTAGGTCCAAACTCTCATCCTTGAAGATGTTAAATGTCCAACATCAGCCTCTTCACATCACCTAGCAGAAGCTTTGTGTTCCATGCCAAACCTGACCGAACTGACACTACGTGGAGAGAATTTCCAGAAGGAGTTCTTTATTACACTGAATGCAAAGGCATCAACCTTACAGGTATGTATGTTTGTACTCTATATCCATGCCATGATGAATTCATGTACACATGTAGCAGTGGAGATGAGTTTATGGAGTATGGAGTAAAAGCAGTATCAAAGTATACTGCAGAGTCGATATTCACTAAACAAGGATGGAGATCTATAAGATTTGTATTATTCTTGTATAATGCATAATTTTATTTATGAATGTATTATATAGCATTGAGGCAATGTCATAAACGTGTTTAAATAATCGACAAGCGATGGTTTCTTCTTTGTTTATTTAATTGTCCAAACACAATTAAAGCTCTATTTATTAAAATCCATCATATGAATAATATCCATTCTAAAATAATGGTCATCAGCCATGGTTCATGTAAAGGTGTTTGTGACCCATGAGGTATAGGGTTCAAATCCCTGCTATACGAAGTACTAATGTTGTTTGGCAAGACATTAATATACATTTGCAACAGTCCCCCTAGGTGAAGTAAGTGGGTACCTGGTAAGATGTATTCCTTGAATTTATCACTGTGCAGTTGATAGGTCTATGGACAGTGAACCATGAGGTATAGGGTTCAGATACCTGTGATACGAATTACTGATGTTGTTTGGTAAGACATTAATATACATTTGCAACACTCTACCTAGGTAGTAAGTGGGTACCTTTCTGGATGTATTCCTTGAATTCATTAGTGTGCAGTCGGTGGTAATAAAATACAATATAGATGTAATTGTCAGTCCTCCTGTTGTTTGACACATACTCCGTCCACAATATTTCCGGGCTTACTATCTTGCACTAACCGAATTCTTATCTTTAACCTTGTACCAAAAAGTATACCTATCAATAAACATTAAAATTCAAAACTATTTGCAGCCCTTGTCCAAATCCTATATATTAGACTAAATAGAGCCCAGAGTATTTGTCAGCTGAGCATATAGCCAACTTCAACATGTATATCAGAGCACTCAGTTATATTTGCAGTTATTCAATAACAACATTTTTTCCCTCCTGATTTTACCCCGATTTTCCCCTTATTTACCCGATTTCCCCCCACTTTTTTTTACTAAAAAAAGGGGGGATGTTGTTAGTTGCCTCCCCCCGAATCCATTTTGTTTACTCAAGGGGGGGGGGGGGCAGGGGGAGGGGGTGGTTGAGGTTAGTGCTTACTGACACCTCTGATTTACTCTGGTAATCAGTGCAGTATGAATCACTGTTTGTTTACATGTAGGTCCAAACTCTCATCCTTGAAGATGTTAAATGTCCAACATCAGCCTCTTCACATCACCTAGCAGAAGCTTTGTGTTCCATGCCAAACCTGACCGAACTGACACTACGTGGAGAGAATTTCCAGAAGGAGTTCTTTATTACACTGAATGCAAAGGCATCAACCTTACAGGTATGTATGTTTGTACTCTATATCCATGCCATGATGAATTCATGTACACATGTAGCAGTGGAGATGAGTTTATGGAGTATGGAGTATTGATAAAGCAGTATCAAAGTATACTGCAGAGTCGATATTCACTAAACAAGGATGGAGATCTATAAGATTTGTATTATTCTTGTATAATGCATAATTTTATTTATGAATGTATTATATAGCATTGAGGCAATGTCATAAACGTGTTTAAATAATCGACAAGCGATGGTTTCTTCTTTGTTTATTCAATTGTCCAAACACAATTAAAGCTCTATTTATTAAAATCCATCATATGAATAATATCCATTCTAAAATAATGGTCATCAGCCATGGTTCATGTAAAGGTGTTTGTGACCCATGAGGTATAGGGTTCAAATCCCTGCTATACAAAGTACTAATGTTGTTTGGCAAGACACATTTGCAACAGTCCCCCTAGGTGAAGTAAGTGGGTACCTGGTAAGATGTATTCCTTGAATTTATCACTGTGCAGTTGATAGGTCTATGGACAGTAAACCATGAGGTATAGGGTTCAGATACCTGCGATACGAATTACTGATGTTGTTTGGTAAGACATTAATATACATTTGCAACACTCTACCTAGGTAGTAAGTGGGTACCTTTCTGGATGTATTCCTTGAATTCATTACTGTGCAGTCGGTGGTAATATAATACAATATAGCTGTAATTGTCAGTCCTCCTGTTGTTTGACACATACTCCGTCCACAATATTTTCGGGCTTACTATCTTGCACTAACCGAATTCTTATCTTTAACCTTGTACCAAAAATTATACCTATCAATAAACTTAAAAATTCAAAACTATTTGCAGCCCTTGTCCAAATCCTATATATTAGACTAAATAGAGCCCAGAGTATTTGTCAGCTGAGCATATAGCCAACTTCAACATGTATATCAGAGCACTCAGTTATATTTTCAGTTATTCAATAACAACATTTTTTCCCTCCTGATTTTACCCCGATTTTCCCCTTATTTACCCGATTTCCCCCCACTTTTTTTACTCAAAAAAGGGGGGATGTTGTTAGATGCCTCCCCCCGAATCCATTTTGTTTACTCAAGGGGGGGGGCAGGGGGAGGGGGTGGTTGAGGTTAGTGCTTACTGACACCTCTGATTTACTCTGGTAATCAGTGCAGTATGAATCACTGTTTGTTTACATGTAGGTCCAAACTCTCATCCTTGAAGATGTTAAATGTCCAACATCAGCCTCTTCACATCACCTAGCAGAAGCTTTGTGTTCCATGCCAAACCTGACCGAACTGACACTACGTGGAGAGAATTTCCAGAAGGAGTTCTTTATTACACTGAATGCAAAGGCATCAACCTTACAGGTATGTATGTTTGTACTCTATATCCATGCCATGATGAATTCATGTACACATGTAGCAGTGGAGATGAGTTTATGGAGTATGGAGTATTGATAAAGCAGTATCAAAGTATACTGCAGAGTCGATATTCACTAAACAAGGATGGAGATCTATAAGATTTGTATTATTCTTGTATAATGCATAATTTTATTTATGAATGTATTATATAGCATTGAGGCAATGTCATAAACGTGTTTAAATAATCGACAAGCGATGGTTTCTTCTTTGTTTATTTAATTGTCCAAACACAATTAAAGCTCTATTTATTAAAATCCATCATATGAATAATATCCATTCTAAAATAATGGTCATCAGCCATGGTTCATGTAAAGGTTTTTGTGACCCATGAGGTATAGGGTTCAAATCCCTGCTATACGAAGTACTAATGTTGTTTGGCAAGACATTAATATACATTTGCAACAGTCCCCCTAGGTGAAGTAAGTGGGTACCTGGTAAGATGTATTCCTTGAATTTATCACTGTGCAGTTGATAGGTCTATGGACAGTGAACCATGAGGTATAGGGTTCAGATCCCTGCCATACGAATTACTAATATTGTTTGGTAAGACATTAATATACATTTGCAACACTCGACCTAGGTAGTAAGTGGGTATCTTTCTGGATGTATTCCTTGAATTCATCACTGTGCAGTCGGTGGTAATATAATACAATATAGCTGTAATTGTCAGTCCTCCTGTTGTTTGACACATGCTCCGTCCACAATATTTTCGGGCTTACTATCTTGCACTAACCGAATTCTTATCTTTAACCTTGCACCAAAAAGTATACCTGTCAACAAACATTGGAACCCAAAACTATTTGCAGCCCTTGTCCAAATCCTATATATTAGACTAAATAGAGCCCAGAGTATTTGTCAGCTGAGCATATAGCCAACTTTAACATGTATATCAGAGCACTCAGTTATATTTGCAGTTATTCAATAACAACATTTTTTCCCTCCTGATTTTACCCCGATTTTCCCCTTATTTACCCGATTTCCCCCCAATTTTTTTACTCAAAAAAAGGGGGGGATGTTGTTAGATGCCTCCCCCCGAATCCATTTTGTTTACTCAAGGGGCGGGGGGGGGGGGCAGGGGGAGGGGGTGGTTGAGGTTAGTGCTTACTGACACCTCTGATTTACTCTGGTAATCAGTGCAGTATGAATCACTGTTTGTTTACATGTAGGTCCAAACTCTCATCCTTGAAGATGTTAAATGTCCAACATCAGCCTCTTCACATCACCTAGCAGAAGCTTTGTGTTCCATGCCAAACCTGACCGAACTGACACTACGTCGAGAGAATTTCCAGAAGGAGTTCTTTATTACACTGAATGCAAAGGCATCAACCTTACAGGTATGTATGTTTGTACTCTATATCCATGCCATGATGAATTCATGTACACATGTAGCAGTGGAGATGAGTTTATGGAGTATGGAGTATTGATAAAGCAGTATCAAAGTATACTGCAGAGTCGATATTCACTAAACAAGGATGGAGATCTATAAGATTTGTATTATTCTTGTATAATGCATAATTTTATTTATGAATGTATTATATAGCATTGAGGCAATGTCATTAACGTGTTTAAATAATCAACAAGCGATGGTTTCTTCTTTGTTTATTTAATTGTCCAAACACAATTAAAGCTCTATTTATTAAAATCCATCATATGAATAATATCCATTCTAAAATAATGGTCATCAGCCATGGTTCATGTAAAGGTGTTTGTGACCCATGAGGTATAGGGTTCAAATCCCTGCTTTACGAAGTACTAATGTTGTTTGGCAAGACATTAATATACATTTGCAACAGTCCCCCTAGGTGGAGTAAGTGGGTACCTGGTAAGATGTATTCCTTGAATTTATCACTGTGCAGTTGATTGGTCTATGGACAGTGAACCATGAGGTATAGGGTTCAGATACCTGCGATACGAATTACTGATGTTGTTTGGTAAGACATTAATATACATTTGCAACACTCGACCTAGGTAGTAAGTGGGTACCTTTCTGGATGTATTCCTTGAATTCATCACTGTGCAGTCGGTGGTAATAAAATACAATATAGCTGTAATTGTCAGTCCTCCTGTTGTTTGACACATGCTCCGTCCACAATATTTTCGGGCTTACTATCTTGCACTAACCGAATTCTTATCTTTAACCTTGCACCAAAAAGTATACCTGTCAACAAACATTGGAACTCAAAACTATTTGCAGCCCTTGTCCAAATCCTATATATTAGACTAAATAGAGCCCAGAGTATTTGTCAGCTGAGCATATAGCCAACTTCAACATGTATATCAGAGCACTCAGTTATATTTTCAGTTATTCAATAACAACATGTACCCTTGTAATGCAGTATGAATCACTGTTTGTATACATGTAGGTCCACACTCTCAGCCTTAAAGGTCTTAAGTGTCTATCATCACCCTCTTCACATCACCTAGCAGATGCTTTGTGTTACATGCCAAACCTGAGCAAACTGATACTACGTGGAGAGGATTTCCAGGAGGAGTTCTTTACTACAATGAATGCAAAGGCGTCAACCTTACAGGTATGTATGCGTTTTTGTACTCGATATCCATGGCATGATGAATTCATGTACATGTAGCAATGGAGATGAGTTTAAGGAGTTATGATATGTTAACAACAGTCCATATTGTTTCAATGTATGTAATGGTTTCATATTAAAAAATATATAATAGGCTTACCAGATAAAAGGAGCATTATTATAATGAAGGTCTTTTATGTGCAGTGTATAATACAGAATTCATATAGCTTCAGTTGAAAATATGATGTTCTCCCCCCAAAAAATCACTTTTAAAGGTTTGCCTCAGAAAAGGTATTTGGGTTTTTAATAAAGACTAACTGGAGGTGTTTGAATAAGCATTTATAGGGGGAGGGGAGTGTTGTATTGTTACTTTTGCAGTAATATAATTCAGTATAAACAGATTACTGAAGTACTCTAACTTAGTAGCTACAAATATTTGTTTGTCGCTTGTATATTTTTAAGTTCAGAGCCATTCAAAAGGATGGAATTATGTCATCATGGGTATGAAAGCAGTATCAAAGTATCCTCCGAGTCATTCACTAAACAAGATTGGAGATCTATAAGACAGTGTACGTATTTTAAGCACAGCTACATATACATCCTTGTATAATGCATGCTTTTATTTATGAATGTATTATATAGCATTAAGGCAATGTAAAAACATGTCTAAATAATTGACAAACGATAGTTCTTTGTTTATTTAATTGTCCAAACGCAAATAAAGATCTTTTTATTAAATTCAATCATATGAATAATATACATTCTACAATAATTGACATCAGCCATGGTTCGCATAAAGGTGCTTGTGGTCCAGTTGATAGGTCTATCGACAGTGGACCATGAGGTATAGGCTTCAAATCCCTGCCATACGAAGTTTGGTAAGACATTAATTTATATTTGAAACACTGAACGTAGGTGTAGTAAGCGGGTACCTTTTAGGATGTATTTCTTGAATTCATCGCTGTGCAGTAAGTAGTCATAAAATGCACTATAGCTTTATTTGTCAGTCCTCATGTTGTGTGACACATGCTCCGTCCACAATTTTTCTGTGCTTACTATCCTACACTAACATAATTCTTATCTTTTACCTTGCACCAAAAGCTATACCTATCACTAAACCTATTAAAACCCAAAACTATTTGCAGCCCTTATCCGAATCCTAGATATTAGACTAAGTAAAGCCCAGAGCATATCGGAGCACCTAGTTATATTTGCAGTTATTCAATATCAACATTTACTCTGGTAATGCAGTATGAACCACTGTTTGTATACATGTAGGTCAAAACTGTCTGGCTAGACGGTGTTAGGTGTCCATCATCAGCCTCTTCACATCACCTAGCAGAAGCTGTGTGTTCCATGCCAAACCTGACTCAACTGATATTTTGTGGAAAGGATTTCCAGGAGGAGTTCTTCACTACACTGAATACAATGGCGTCGACCTTACAGGTATGTATGCGCGTTTGTACTCTTTATTCATGCTATGCTGAATTTATGTACACATGTAGCAGTGGAGATGAGTTTAAGTATCTAAGGAGTATATATGAAAATATATAATGGTCTTAGCAGACCAAGGAAATTATTATGAGAGGGTATTTCTTGTGCAGTGTATGATACAGAATTTGTATAGTTTGGGTTTAAAATATGATGTTATGCACAAAATTTAACTTTAAAATGTTTGCCTCAGAAAAGGTATTTTGTTTTTTGATGGAGACTATTAAACTGGTCGTGTTTAAGTAAGAACATATGGGGGAAGGGGAGTGTTGTCTTGCTTCCCATGCAGTCACACAATTCAGTATAAACATATTACTGATGTACTCTAAAGACTAGTAGCTACAAATACTTTGTTTGTAATTTGTATATTTTAAAGTTCAGAGCCATTCATAAGGTTGGAATTATGTTACCATGGGTCTGAAAGCAGTATCAAAGCATTCTCCAGATTCAATACTCACTAAACAAGCATGGAGAGCTAGATAATAGTGTACCTATGTTAAGCACAGCTACATGAACACTCTCTATATATACATTCATGTTTATTCATACTTATAGTCATGAATGTATCATAAGCATTTAGGCAATGTCATTAATGTGTCTAAATAATCGACAAAGCAATAGTTTCTTCTTTGTTTATTTAATTCTCCAATCACAAATGCGGCTCTTATTAATAAAGAAAGGGACATATGAATAATATACAGTCTAAAGTAATGGACATCAACCATGGTTCATATAGAGGTGTTTTCGTCCAGTGAGTCTTCTCAAGGACTTTAAAGAAAATATTCATGAAGATATTACTGTGATGTTCTGGTACCAGGCACAAGTATTGTCACATTTTAGATTCTGGACTCGATTGCAATAACAGTTGATCTTGGCTGCTGCCCATTCTTTCTGGATTTGATTTCAAAATTCTTCCAGTCAGGAAGTCCTGAACTGAAAAGGTGCTGGTGCCAACGGACACAGAGTTTAATGCCAGGAGTGACCCAGGGTTTGTCACTTTTGTGTGTATTGATTGACAGGGAAGTGAATATCTATTAATCACACTGGCATTGACATCTTGCGTAGTTATGACAGCGGACCAAATCGAGTGATCCAGTTGCCAAAACTGTGAATGGTGGGAGTCTTTCATTGGTCCAACTTGCCTTTTCCTGTTTTTTGTTTATTTTTGGTTTAAGTAGAATAGCACAGTGATTGCTGAGGCCTAGAAATACACTAAGCTCAATTGGAGAGAAGAATTGTTTAAAATTTGTAATATTGTTGTCAAGAATGATGCTGTTTCTTGTAGGTTTTGGACGAGTTGTTTCAAATTGTGGGCAGTAAGGAGGGGTGACATGTTAAGGCGAATCATTTTACCATTGATGAGTATCCCAGCTTCGAGATGACAAGAGAAAAGTTTATCTAGGGCCTCAGTGAGGTAGCTGTCTTAGAAATATAGAAAGTAAAATTAGAAAAATGAAAAGTTCAGTAATTAAAATACATATCTATTTAGCACTTTTTAAAATTTCACAATTATGAACACAGCTAGTGCACCATTTCCACTCCTTCTGTATTCTGTTCTTTAAAGCGCATAGAGACATGTAATTATGCTTGTATCGTGCACTCTACTAAAACATTTAATTTCTATTGTAATATTTTTACTATTAATGTTGTTCGGTAAGGCATTAGTCTACATTTACAACACTTGACCCAGTATAAAGTGGGTACCTCATAGGATATACCTTGAATGCAGCACTACCGTTGCCTTCAAAGGCCTTTGGAAGCACATAGAGATGTTACATTTATATCATAATGTGAAATTTGCTGTACAAGAATGGAATGTTATCTATATTAAAACTATGAAATATTATTATTGTGAAACCTACATGTACTTTTATTAATCACTGTCTGTACAGCTCAAAACTGTCGATATTTCAGATGTCTGCTTTCCAAATGTAACCGCCTTACAGAACCTAGCAGAGTCATTATGTTCCATGCCAAAACTGACTTACCTGAATTCAAGCATAGAGAAGATTGAGCAGTCGATCCAGTTCTACTCTACATTAAAAGCAAAGGCATCATCCGTAAAGGTATAACATGTCAATTGAATTATAGTATCTTTGACCAACAATATGTCAAAGGTCCAATAAGTTAATTTGCGCTTTTCTAAAAAAGGAATATTAGGAATATTAGATTTTGCCCTGCTTGAATAAGAAATAGGTAACCGGTAGGATAGAGCGCCCGCCTCATGAACGGGAGGTCGTGGGTTCGAACCCCGGCCGAGTCATACCAAAGACTTACAACAATGGGACCTTCTGCCTTCTAGCTAGGCGCTCAGCATATTAGATTGGAGAAGGGTAGTAATAACATACTATGTAATGCAGGGCCCGCTGGAAGAACAGTTTCATAACTGAAGTGGCTACCCTGGGTAAATAAAAGTTATTAATTAATTAATTAATTAATTAGTTAATTAATTGATTAAAAAATATAAAAAGCATATTACAACTCCTTCTATTGCCAATTCCCACAAATGCCCCGATGTTACTGTAATGCCCCCCCCCCTTATTTCAAATGCATTCTTGGGTGGCTTGATGACTTAGTCGCTTCAGGTCTATTTTGGGTGGCCGTACTGTGCCGTCTTGTCTCGACCGGCCTAGCCCGGCAGCCGATAGTCACCGAGCTAGCTGACTACATGCGCATTGCAATAGGTTGATGGTTGCACCTTTCTCTTCAATCTTTGGGTTTTTTTTTTATAGTATAGCGTAAGCATTTTGATTTTTTTTTAAAATAAAGTTAATAGTAAGTTGGAATATGGTGAATCTGCTGTATGCTAGTGCCACGAAAATAAACAGAAAACCTACAGAGATATCCCTGAATGAGAAATGTTACTTAGGTCAAATTCGCAACAAATCCTGCACAGCGTGCGACCCGTGCGTGCACTGCAAGTATGTAAGTCCCAGAAGTGGTTCGAAATTACTCCCAAAATTTGCACGTCCAGGCATTTGGGGGTATTGGCGATTTGTGATGTGTTCTAAATATATTTAAGAGGTCATACACAATATTGTTCAACATAGCTGGTTTGTGGGTGATTGGTGTGGGAGGGGGTGTCATGCAGGATACAGTCTTGTTGAAATATTGATCAGTTCAGCTGTTTTGTATGTGTGCGTATGTTTATGTGTGGGTGGGAGGGGGGAGGGGATGTCAGCGTAAAGTTTTGTTGAAATAGTTCAACATATTTGTTATGTGTTGTTGGTGTGTGTTAAGGGGATTGGCTATATGAGGTATGCTAGGTCTTATATGACAGAGAGAGAGAAAGAGAGAGAGAGTACTGACCTGTTATGTACATGTATAATATATGGTACAGTGTGTCAGCCAGACTGGAATGGAGGAATAAACGACATGAAGTGAATCATCATCACCAATCTTGCTCACAGGCGCGTACGCAGGAGGGGGGGGGGGGGGGGGGGGGGAGGGTTTGGGGTTAACCCCCCCTTGAGTTTATTTTATCTGTATTCTTTTTTTGTAAAACCCCCTCCTCTTACCTCCCCCCCTCCCCCACCGAGCGACTTTTCGGCTGTTTTCGGCTGGCTGAGTCGGTGCGATTTTTTTTGGACTCCAAAAAAAGAAAAAAAAAAAAATTGTCCGCTTACCCCCCCCCCCCCCCCCCCACTGAGCGACTTTTCGGCCGGCGCGATTTTCAAATTTTCGGGAGCAAAACAAAAAAGCTGAGTCGTTGCGAAATTTTGGGCCTGATTTTAAAACCCCTCCCCTTGAAAAAAACCTGCGTACGCCACTGCTTGCTCATATATATCTATATTCTTTTCAGGGTTCTTTCCCTCAAGTCAGAAAAGGAAATTTCAGCTTCAACCAAATTCCTCAAGCAAATTTTGATTCATTCATGCAGTGGGTCACTAAGCGGTACTCGAACTTGTAAGTGAATTAAGCATAATGAATTACAAAATCATTTTATTATACAACTCACTTGATCCTAATCAAACGATTGGTCAAAAGCGGTCACATGTGATTCATTTACTGAGGCTGGCACATGTTCTGCTGCACATGATGTGCAGCAGAGCATATACAGTTAAATACAGGCGCGGATCCAGGGGGGGGGCGGAGCGGGCCTTGCCCCCCCCCCCCCCCGCCAAAAAAAAAAAGAGGAGAGGAAGGGAAAGAGAGAAGAGGAAGAAGAAAAGAAAAGGGAAGAAGGAGATCAGGGGGCCAAAAGGGCCTTGCTTCCCAGGCTGATGCCCCCCCCCCCCAATCAAAAAAATAAAAGAGAAGGAAGGAAAGGGAAAGAAAAAAGGAAAAGGGGAGATACTGGCGAACTGATAGGGGGTAGGGGCTTGGGGGAAATCAAATTTAAACGTGGTTTATTTCTAATTCCATAACGGTGGATTACAAATAATGCTGAGATTTTTCCTCTTTTTCCTTTAGTAAATTATACGTTTTTATGTGACAAATTCCTGAATTTACAGCTAGGCAAAAAATGTGATTCTTGAGATTCCTACATGTCAGGGCCCGAGGAACGGCGGGGATCGAGAGCCTAGAGCCCCCCCCCCCCCCACTCTTTTTGAAAAGGTATATTAATAAAAATAAAAAAGAAGAGAGCAAGAAAGAAAAAATAGTTGACTGCCAGTGTCAAAAAATAAAAGAGGCATCAAAATATGCTAATCTGACCGTGATTAAATGCCTAAAGCCCCCAAGCTTCCGGGGGCTCTGCTGGCCCCTGGGTTCCATCTAGGGCCCTAAGGCGGGCCCTTAGATGCTCATCTGACGGTAATTTAATGTCTAAAATCCCTGAGCCTCCGGGGGCTCCACCGCCTCGACCCCACCAAGGGCCCTAAGGCGGGCTCCTGAATGCTTATCTGACCGTAATTTATTGCCTTTAATCCCTGAGCTTCTGGGGTCGGACACGTTATCAAAATGTGTTTATCTGACCGCAGGCGCGTAGCCAGGAGGGGGGGGGGGGGGCTGTGGGGGCGGTCCCTGAAAATCGCCGTAAAAAAAAAAGAGAGGAGAGAAAAGAAAGAGGACTTAGGAATCAAAAGGAGCAGAGAAAGAACATCTTTGAAATTCAGACAAGGATTAAGAGTAGAGAACGGTACAACGAATCGTCTTCTTTCTCTAATGATTTAATAAAACGTAAAAGCTTCCGCGCTTTGCGCAGGAGGGGAGGGGGAACTGAATTCAGACGAGGATTATTTTCGAGAACGGTACAACGAATCGTCTTCTTTCTCTAATGATTTTAATGAAACTTAAAAGCTTCAGGGCTTCGCGCGGGAGGGGGGAGCCTGAATTCAGACGAGGATTTAGAGTCGAGAACTGTACGACGAATCGTCTTTTTTCTCTAATGGTTTAATGAATCGTAAAAGTTTCCGCGCTTTGCTCAGGAGGGGAGGGGGAACTGAATTCAGACGAGGATTATTTTCGAGAACGGTACAACGAATCGTCTTCTTTCTCTAATGATTTTAATGAAACTTAAAAGCTTCAGCGCTTCGCGCGGGAGGGGGGAGCCTGAATTCAGACGAGGATTTAGAGTCGAGAACTGTACGACGAATCGTCTTTTTTCTCTAATGGTTTAATGAATCGTAAAAGCTTCCGCGCTTTGCGCGGGCGGGGAAAAACTGAATTTAGACGAGGATTATTTTCGAAAACGGTATAACGAAACGTCTTCTTTCTCTAATAATTCAATGAAACGTCAAGAGGGAGGGGGAACTCGACCCTCCCTGTACCCACCCCCCTCCCCGCATTACGTCACTGCTGGTCACCATTACGTACCAATATTTGGCTCGCATAATTTCAAATTTGGGCCTCCCTCCCTAAGAAATCCTGGATCCGCGCCTGGTTTAATATGCTTTATATATGTTCATATTAATACATGTATATCACTGTGCATTGAGGCTTGTAGAGGTGAGTGTGCCTATATCTTTGTGCGTGCTAAATTAAGCCTATTAAACTTAGGGCTTAATTGACAAGGATAATTACTAAAAACCCTCCTGAAATAAAGTCTTTTTATATCAAATAACAAGGATCTTGGATATTTGTTGTAAAAAACAAATGATGGATGTTTTTAATTGTTCATTACAGGATCTATCCGCTCTTGTTGATGCTGTTTATGCACCTATCATAGACGGTCGTCAGGCCGTGTATGAAAGATGCATAGGGCCTCAACTCAAGAGCAGATAAATCATAATTATAATGAACTCATTCGCATGCTCATTTCAACCACGCACAGAACATTCTTTCACTAGCATAAAAGATGATACAAATTTCAGAATACCACCCCAGGCCCCTAGCACCTGGGCCCTATAACAGTCACGATTATCTCCCAAATCTTGATTGTACATACATTATCTCAGTCAATCAATTGCAACATTATGATCAATAGAAACTTATCATTAATTATTTTTGGTTACAGGTAGATACATTGCTTAAAAGTCAAATACAATAAATTGCGGCAACACTGGAGACACAACAGATTTTTACGATTGATTATCACTTGCTTTGTATGTTACAGGTTTTTTTCTCATCCTCGATTCGGGAAGTATTCTTCTGACCTCTCAGAGGAGAAGGATGACGTTTCGGACGAAGACAAGGACGAGGAGGAGGACAAGGAGGATAACGTCTCAGACAAGGAGGATGACCTAAGTAAGCAACACAATGGCAGTGTACATCCATCAAGATCGCACAGCCGGATTAAGTGCTGCTCTATTGTATAGAGCTATCTCCAAGACGGTTTTACAACACTTGCTTCTGCGACAATTATTCCGTGTCGGTGTCCTATATTAAACAAAATTCTACCTTCAACCTCAGACCTTACACCACTGGCATACTGGTGGGGGGGGGGGGGGCTTGGGGGGCACCAGCCCCCCCCCCCCCCCCAATAAAATTGAACCATGACTTATTTTCAATTCCATATACAAACTAGAATTTAATTCGTCACGAGGACGAATAAGGTGGTCTGTCTTCAAGTCTTATGATAGATTATAATATTTACTATATTTACTAGATCATGATGATGATCATGATGATGATGATCTTGATAGTAATGGTGATGACGATGATGATGATCATGGTGATGTATCAACAGACCATGATGACATCTGCATGATTGAAAAAATGAGGGGACATTTAGATAGCGTACAGTCTCAGCTACAACATACTCAAAAATAAACAAAAATCGAGCTGAAAATAACGGCGATATTGCTCGCAAAGGACATGAATGTAGAATCCAGATTGAGAAAAAGTCATCTCCCATAAGGATTACACGCAAAAAGTAATAGATCAAGTGATAATAGGGTAATAATAAAGAAAATATGGTTGTTCATTACATTATTTGCGATTCTACGTGTTTTAATATTTAAAGGAGATGGTACAGTGAAAGGTCAAAAAGAAAAAAAAGTGAAGAAAAAAATTGTTGGAGACGCCCGGACCCGAACCAGGGACCTCGAGGACGGAAGTCAAGTGCGTTACCGATATACCAAAACATTTCCCATAGAGATTACACGTAAACGGAAAATGAAATTCTCAAATCCCACTTTGCAAGTGAAATATGAGCATGATACCGGCATCTTATCGAAAAATAAAGGGAACACTTATGATAGCTCATTGTCTCAGCTAAAACATACTCAAAGCTCAGCGTAAACAAAGATAAAACGACGGAGATATTGCTCGCGAAAGACAAGAATGTAGAATCCAGTTTTGAGAAAGTCATGTCCCATAGAGAATACACGCAAAATGTGAAAAATTGACATGCCTCCTTTAATTGCAAAAATACGCCATGATGCCGTTGTCAAAATGAAATATTGTGGCACTGCATTTGTAGAGAATATTCTAAGGTAGAACATATCAAAATTTGAAAGAAAATTGATCAATATTTACAGAGATACAATCAATTTTCCAAAAATCTGCTTACGTCATAATTTCCAAATTGAAATTTTGTATTTGGAGGCCCTTATGATGACGTCATGAGTTAATTCGTCGCTGTTTTCACGAAGTGACGGTAGTGAAAAAAAATTGCATTCACTTTGCGTTACGATTTTCCTCACTACCGTCACTTCGTGAAAACAAGGACGAATTGAGGGTCAAATGAGACATAAAATCATATCTCCAACTCATGCTTTTTCCAACCATGATATAAAAGTTTGGGGTCAATTGACTATCTGAAGAGCTATTTCGATTTTTAAAATGGCATGTTTTTGATCAAATTTGCGATATGTTTCCCATAGCAGCACGCGCGGATTTTGAACTTTTACGCGCGCTCACGGCCTTATGAAAGGTCAAGAGTGACTGAAATTAATGTAAATTGTCATTTCAGTGAGAGGAATTTAAATCATGTAACAAATTTGAATTTGACCTTTTCCGCGCGTTGTGAGCGTGCGCAACGCGCGCGGGGACACGTACGGACGGAAAATTTTGAAATGCTTAAAATGACCAGATTCGTACTCTCCTTTAATAGTTAAGTGATTTTGAGCATTTTTAAATTTTGACGCACGCGTACGTGTGCGTCATGACCTTTATGTGACCTTTGATGACATGACCTGTTGACCCTTGACCTAAAGTATATGTGATATGAATATGAATGACCTTTGCTTATGCACTATGAAGATATGATGGATAATGTGCTTTCACAAAATGGCGCCTGGATGACGTCACGATAACCTGATGACCTTGAAAATGTTCCTTTAATGTCTCATGACAATGACCTATGACTGTGTCAAAATTGAAAGAAATTAACACAACCGATCTTGAGTTATCCTATGAACAAAAATGGGGGAGAAATAAGAATAAAGAACTAGAAATTTAATTCGTCATGGGGACGAATTAGGTGGTCTGTTTTCAATTTTATGATCATTAAAAAGTCAACAACAACAAAAAAATGAAGAAAAAAAAATTGTTGGAGACTCCCGGACTCGAACCAGGGACCTCGAGGTCAGAAGTCAAATGCGTTACCGATATACCAAAACATTTCCCATAGCGATTACACGTAAACGGAAAATGGAATTCTCAAATACCACATTGTAAGTGAAATATGAGCATGATCTTGGCATCTGAACGAAAAATAAAGGGCACATTTATGATAGCTTATTTTCTCAGCTACAACAGACTCAAAGCTCAGCGTAAACAAAGATAAAACGACGGAGATATTGCTCGCGAAAGATGAAAATGTAGAATCCAGTTTTGAGAAAAAGTCATGTCCCATAGAGAATACACGCAAAATGTGAAAAATTGACATGCCTCCTTTAATCGCAAAAATACGCCATGATGCCATTGTCAAAATGAAATATTGTGGCACTGCATTTGTAGAGAATATTCTCAGGTAGAACATATCAAAATTTGAAAGAAAATTGATAAATATTTACAGAGATACAATCAATTTTACAAAAATATGCTGACGTCATAATATGCAAATTGAAATTTTGAGTTCGGAGGCCATTATGATGACGTCATGAGTTAATTGAGGGTCAAATGACACATGAAATCATATCTCCAACTCATGCTTTTTCTAACCATGATATAAAAGTTGGGGTCAATTGACTATCTGAAGAGCTATTTTGATTTTTAAAATGGCATGTTTTTGATCAAATTTGCATTATATTGCCCATAGCAGCACGCGCGGATTTTGAACTTTGACGCGCACTCACGGCCTTATGAAAGGTCAAGAGTGACTGAAATTAATGTAATTTGTCATTTACGGTAAGAGGAATCTAAATCATGTAAAAAAAAAATGAATTTGACCTTTTCCGCGCGTTGTGAGCGCGCGCGTTGACACGTACGGACGGAAAATGTTGAAATGCTTAAAATGACCTGATTCGTACTCTCCTTTAATAGTTAAGTGATTTTGAGCATTTTTAAATTTTGACGCGCACGTACGCGCGCGTCGTGACCTTTATGTGACCTTTGATGACATGACCTGTTGACCCTTGACCTGAAATATATGTGATATGAATATGAATGACCTTTGCTTGTACATCATGAAGATATGATGGATAACGTGATTTCACAAAATGGCGCCTGGATGACGTCACGATGACCTGATGACCTTGAACATGTTTCTGTCACGTCTCATGACAATGACCTATGACTGTGTCAAAATTTAAAGAAATTAACACAACCAATCTTGAGTTATCCTATGAACAAAAAAGTGTAGGAAATAAATAAAAATAAAGAATAAATAAATAATAAAGAAAATTCTGACGAAAACAATAGGTGATCTGTTTTCAACAGACCACCTAATAAAGAAAGAAAATTCTGACGAAAACAATAGGTGATCTGTCATCGACAGACCACCTAAATAAATAAATAAAGAAGAAAGAAAATTCTGACAAAAACAATAGGTGATCTGTTTTCAACAGACCACCTAATAATAATAAAGACAATAGGTGATCTGTCGAAAACGACAGACCACCTAATGATGTATAAATGTTCGTGATATCACATGCTTTTCAACAAAATGCGCGTTTCTCCATTTCTGTTGCAAACTGACACATTCCCAATTGGCCATGTTTTTTATAGTCAATAAGGGGCCGTGGCCACTAACAGCTAGTAAAACAAACTCCTTTACAGAAGCAACTGTGACAAGCACTGCCGGGCGTTCCATACTTACATCATGTAACACGTACTGCACATGTACCGTTGAGGGGCCCAGTGGGGAAATTGAATTCAGACAAGATTAAGAGTAGTGAACGGTACAACGAATCGTCTTCTTTCTCTAATAATTTAATGAAACGGCAAAGCTTCCGCGCTTCGGCGGGGGGGGGGGCAACTGAATTCAGACTAGGATTAAAAGTAGAGAACGGTACAACGAATCGTCTTCCTTCTTTATAATTTAATGAAGTGTCAAAGCTTCCGCGCTTCGCGCGAGAGGGGAGGGGGGGAGGAAGTGCATTCAGACAAGAACACGATACAACGAATCGTCTTCTTTCTCTAATAATTTAATGAAACGAGAAAGTAATGATTTATTGAAACGCAAAAGCTTCCGCGCTTCGCGCGAGATGGGCGAAAATGAATTCAGACAAGGATTAAGAGTAATTATTTAATGAATCGTTAAAATTTCCGCGCTTTGCGCGGGGTGGGCGAAATGAATTAAGACAAGGATTAAGAGTAAAAGTTTAATGAAACGTCAGAGTTTCCGCGTTTCGCGCGAGATGGGCGAAAATTCGCGAGAGAGGGGAGGGGGGAAGTGAATTCAGACAAGAACACGATACAACGAATCGTCTTCTTTCTCTAATAATTTAATGAATCGTCAAAATTTGCGCGGGATGGGCGAAATGAATTCAGACAAGGATTAAGAGTATTATTGAAACGCAAAAGCTTCCGCGCTTCGCGCGAGATGGGCGAAAATGAATCGTCAAAGCTTCTGCGCTTCGCGCGTGATGGGCGAAAATGAATTCAGACAAGGATTAAGAGTAATAATTTATTGAAACGTCAAGACTGCCGCGCTTCGCGCGGGAGGGGGGGGGGGAACTGCATGGATCTAAACAAGAATTAAGAGTCGAGAACGGTACAACGGATCGTCTTCTTTTTATAATAATTTTAATGAAGTGTCAAAGTTTCCGCGCTTTGCGCGGGAGGGGGGAAACTGAAAAATAACTTGATTCCTGGCCCCGGGTTTATATGGTTAAATTTGTAGACATTTGGACATTGGCATTAATATATTTGTCGTTAATTGGTTGCACGGTTTGTCGGTAATCGGTGGCCTCTACACCCTCCCCACTCC